ATTATAACATATGTATGCGTGAGAGTGATGATTACACCAGCCATTCAAACAACAGTGATAAGGTATTAAAGCGAACTATTCCCCCTTTACACTAAGTAGCAAAGATTCTTAGAATATAGAATCTTCCTGATGTTGTTTATAAAATGTAGATTCGTATGTACATACGTGCTTACAGAAATGTTTACAATGCGAAAATTAAAGTGTTGAAGTGATTTTTCCATGTTATTTTTTTGGAAAGAAAATCCTCAAAGTATCTAGACTAAAGCATGCTCTTGTTACTGCTAAACAGGGAATAACTTCCAGAATTCGTAAGCTTGCTCAAATCAGCTTCACATCAACACCAATAACGAGAAAAAATAAGAATAATACAGCATAATGAACCAATATAAGTACAAAAAAAACCGAACTGAAAACACCATTCTGTACATGTAATCTTCTACAGGAATAATCATAGTCAACTCTTCAGTAGCATACAAAATGACAAAACACTACACTGATGTTTGTTTCACGCACTTGTGCGAAGTAGTTATAGCATATCAAGACATTGATGTAAACAGAGCAGGAAAAGGGAGATTTGGAGATATGACGTTAATACTTGGAGGACTTTCTTTACAAGAATGTCTGAGTGGTTGACAGAGAGTTGGCTTTCACTAAGTTTGAGGCCAAGAAACCTGAAATTCAAATGCTGCAAACGACAGTCAATGTTGGCAATGAAGGACCACGTTTATCACAACAACTAAGCACTGCAAAACAAAATCTACTTCAGAAGATATCACTACTGCACTTAATTAGCTCTAAAAGCTCCAAGGCATTTATGAGAACAATATTTCCCGGAAGCTCCTTCAGAAGATAATGAAGTACTACTGACAAACATGGAGTTATCTCATTTGACTGGGAAATATTTTTGCTTAATCCGAATTTGATAAGAACGTCTTGGGCATTCTACATCCAACATGCAATCAGAATTAGTCGATCTGGTTTTTTATTTTCAAACCATGCGTAACTAAGTAAATTAATCAATTCATAAAAATAGCTCCATCTACTGATAAGAGTAAAACAAGCAAAAAGTCATTCAATACATGTTTCTCAGCCTTTAACATGACTTTCATAATCCACTCATAGCAGGTTCCAACAAGGATATGAGCAATCTCTTGTTCCCACCAAGATTACTACCAGTTATTTCTTTCTCAATAATGATCCTCCTTAATGAGATGTTGATATCATTGATGGAAGTCACCAGGTACCCTGCCAAAGTATGACGATAATGTCATGCAGATAGAATAATGAGAATTAAATAGCCAAACAAAGCCATCTGTTCGTAATTTACAATTATTATGAAAATCCATGCATGACACAGCCTAAAATATATAAAAAACAAAGCAAATAACTTTCGGTTAGAATGAAAATATTTCCAACGGTGCTGGTGCTTGTCGGGAGGTACATAAATACTATCTCAGATTCATAAAGAAGTTATTGATGTAGAAAATATTGAACTAGAATCTGTGGATAAAGACACAAGTGATGATACTTCACTGCACATGATTTCTATAGATCATGTAAATTAGTTTTACTTACAGACTCTGTAGGTATAACGAGCGCTCGGTATAACATACAGACTCTGTCGGTCTAACAAGCAGTCGGTACAAAATCCCTTTGTTGAATAACAGCGTTTGCATTTGCCTTTCCGATGACAATAAATTGAATGCTTCGGATCACTTAAATTCTAAGTTGACTAAGAGCAATAAAAGACAAATTTGTGCCACACGAGTGATCCTAGCCACTTCAGTAACGTGGTACCTTACCATTCACCAGAAAATGAATGTAAGAAAGATAATGGAAAATTTTAGCAGAAAATTACGCATTAAGAAAACCTATCAGGAGCAATTTCATTATTGTCATGATGTTACGAAGAGGCAGTACATGCCTGATATGGAATGACGCTAAAGTCAATTCTCCGAGGAACAATTTTATGGTTAATTATACAGACAAACTTCTTTGAAATAGTATCATGTATACGGAGCAAGCACAAATTTAGCCACTGGAAGGAAACTCTGATCTTGTATTGACAACATCTCAGGAGGTGTATTCCGCATCCAAGAGTAGACTTGCTGAGGCCTATAAAATTTAAATTACTACCAAAACCATGCATAAAACGCAATGAGTAGCAGCTTGTCCACAATAGCTAGGTTACTGAATGTTGCCAGAAAAACAGTTGTATATTGCCAATGCTGACTGCCACTGCATTTATTCACGTTTAATATCAACTAGCATTGTGAATAGTTTCAATCATCAACAGATCTTCAACAAATCGAAGCCGGTCATCAAGGATCCATGACCAAAAAAATTCGCCTATTCCTCATCATAAAAGTTAAAGCAGACTGCTTTCCTGTAAATAAAAGTCTTTTCCAGTGAGTCCAAAAAGCCGATGACAAGTTGTTGTGATTAATTACGATAATATTGATGTCTTTTTTTGCCAAGGAATATGCACATCTATTGGTCCAAAAACGAGAATGCCGTTGAAATGCTCAACAAAGACATGACTATCTGTCGCTAGGTTCAACTATTTTAACAAAGATAATATACACCAATGAGCATAATCCCATTACATTCTTCAATAAAAACAAGGCTACCTAACACATTGAAAATTTTGCCAATCACGAAGTTGATATAATCATATAAAAAATCTCAAATTTCCCATTATTTTAGATATGATCATTCATTATACTTTGACCAAAGATGTTTTTAATGCACTGTAGTCACCCCGTAGGAATTTCTTTTATACATTTTTTATCCTTTTTTTTATGTGCTTCCAATTTAGTATTAAATGAGAGAGACATGAAATCATTCACAAACCTTATCGGAATCAGCTAAAGGCAGTTAATTCAGAACCCTAGAAATACCAAATATCGAGTATAACAGGCAATCTGGCCCAGCAATATATGCCAATTCTGATGAGAGAATTGTTTTTGGCTTCACAAGAAATAAAAAAATGGAAAAAATATAATTATTTATCAGGTTCAAAAAGGAATCGTGAAAAGTTAGACAAAAGACAACAAATTCAGACTTCAAGCACTAGAAGATGAAAGCATCTAGAAGAGCACTGTGGGGAAAAAGCAAATTTGAGTTTTATCAGTAAAAATGTGATCTTATGGAATAAATTGTATTCCACCAGCTTTGAAGTAGGAGAACATCAACGCTAGGAAACTAGAACACACATTTCATTGGTAGATATTGAAAGATAATAAAAAATGAATCATTGAGATGAAAAAGGTGTAAAGACGAATAAACTAATTCAATTATAAATGTCGTCAACCCCAGTGGGCCTCATCAATAATGTTATCAAATTATCATCATTCTTTGATAGCCATCACATTTAATGTGCCTGGGAGCGGAGCAGCATCCTCATACTCTCTCCTCAATAAAGATTATCTCAATTATCCCAAAAAGAGGAAGCATGCTGGGTAACTAATTATCCAAACACAACAGCAGCATGGAAACAATCTTTACCTATATCTAATCCTCGTCCAACAAAATTAGAATGCACCATTTTTTTTTTGGATCAATTCTTTTCTAAAACAAAACAATATCATCATTTCGACCAGGAAATACCCAACCTGCATGGTGTCCAGCCTTTAGCCAATGTAGGCAAATGCCAGTCAGTAAATAAGCGAACGGGATTATTTAGCAAAAAGCAAAAACTAGAATCTAACCAACACCTGAACTTCAATTCCGTCATCTGTTCTCAATTAGAAAACATGAATGATGCCACACATGATGCTTGGATTACATTCATCGCTCAGCATATCACAAAGATGCCATCTACTATCACTACTAGCACCAGACGATGACAGAGACAGTGAAGGATTCAGTGAATATTGCTCCATGAAAGCACGACAGGATCCATAAGTTAAGCAGAAAAGGCTAATAGATGTGCACCATTCATCAGCCATTCATGAGGAATTAACACTATTCATGAGAAAGCATCACAAGATGTTCATTGTATCTCACTAATTAACGAACAAAAATCTGGGTTAACTAGTTCTTTTCTGGTCTAATTCCAAAATCATGAAAAATATCCCATCATTAGACATTTGGGATACCAATCAACATATATGGACACTCTTCATCAGCCAATCCTTAATTTGAACCTTCAGTCTTTTAGTATCCATAAGCCTTGAAATGCTTCCAAAATCCCCCAGTATTGAGTAATTTCCTTGCTCAGCACATTTCGGTCATAACCCTTGCATTCTTGTCTCTCAAGTAAGAGATTAAACCTCGAGAACATAATATGTTTACTTTAGTTTTTTCTACGGGCTCTGACTCACGGCGGGTGGATGCAGATTTTGTTCAAACAGGCACAGAGTCAGCAGGATCAACTCATTTTTTTCACCTTCTGAGTTCAAGCATCAAGGACCTAGTCTGGATGGCATGAATAAAAATTCAAAGACCACTCAAACAGTGGAGCAACTTCTTTTCATCAGTGGTGGGGGGAGGGGAGCACTGCCCTTCGAGTCGAAATGTTCCAACTTTTTTGGGGCTTTGATCTGCCCACCACCTGGTGTTTGTGTTCGCCAACTGTACCAACGTTTGGAGGGCATTCGTGGTTTTGGGGTGGCCCGAAGATCGTCTTTCATCGAATTGAAGCTGTTGATGGTGCTTCATTTTCTCTCTCTCTCGGTTTTACAGGTGGTGACTCTCTAACCTTTTGTATACAGGAGAAGCGGGTGGAGGACGCCGCGGCTGTGTCCTTCAGGCAGGTGCTGGGATGCTTCTCGGAGAACTGCGCCGGCGCCTACGCCTAGGACGTCTACCCACACATCTCCTTCATCTGCCCGCTCCACCTAGCCAACGAGCACGCCCTCACCATTCGCGGAAGCCCCTTCCTCGACGAGCTCGAGATATCCCTTCCTCCCCCGAAACCCTCCGCCGCCGCCGGGTGAGCGAACTGGTTCTTAGTGACTAAGCTCCTATGATAAGAGCATCTTCTTCTTCTTCAAGTTTCAAGCCGGGCGAGGGAGCCGCCGCAGGGCCTCGAGGAGGGACTCCCTGAACCTGGTGAGGTTCAGGCGTACCTTCTGGCCGTCGGTGTAGACGGGGCCGCTGACGTTGTACCCGAGGCGGTCGATGGCCCAGGGGTCGGCCAACACGGGGTGGTCCGGCGGGTAATCTTCGGAGAGGGTGCTCTCCTCCACCGCCACCTTGTACTCCATGTACTGCAGCCCCATCGCCTCCGCCGGCCACTGGAAGTACGCCATGGCCGCCCACTGCAGCCCCCACGGCACCACCTGCAGCACCACCGCCCCCTCCCGCAGGAACACCATGTTCGTCATTCCCGCCCCGTGCACCCCCACCAGCACCGCCGCCCCTGCCACCACCCGGGAGAACGCCTCCAGCCGGTTCAAGGCTTCCGGGCCCGCCACCTCCACGCGGAACCCCACCTCCCTCGCAAGCTCCGCCACCGCGGCCTCGTTCAGCAGCGCCCGCGAATTCCTCCGCGAGAGGAGCACCAGCAGCGGCCGCCGCTGGTCCTCGGCGGGCGGCGGATTGGGAGTAAGGGGGGAGAGGGACAGCGCCTCCCGGAGGAAGCGGCGGAAGTCGTGGATGGTGACGCCACCGGGTGGCGCGGTGGCGTTGCAGGCGAGGTTGCCGTGGTACTTGAGACCCACCACCGCCGCGGGAAAGCAGTGCACCGTGGGCTCGACGGGGGACGACGGCGAGGCCGCCGCCACGACGCCCGCCTGCTCGGGGCTGCCGGCGAGGTGGTCGAGGACTCGGCGGTACTTGGCCACCCAGTAGTACTGGTAGTCGCTGGCGACGAGTTGGACGTGTCGGAGCTGGCCGGCGGTGAGGAACAGGGGGATGAGCACCTCGCTCACGTCGTGGAAGAAGTTGCCGGCGTAGCCCCCGGTAGAGAAGACGACGGCGGGGGCCGTGTGAGTGACGTCGCAGGGCGGCGGCTGTGCCTCGCCGCCGATGATTTCGACCGGCGCCGTGCGCGACATCGCCGTCCTGTCGTTCTTCCTTGGGTAGGGTTGAACGGTTTGCCAGCCGCCGGCGAGCTTCTGGCCTCCGGCGAGGTAGACGGTGGGGGAGCGGGAGGACCCGGCGGCGATCCGAACGCCGCCGGTCGTGACGCAGAAGTTGGACCTGGCGTCGGAGACGCAGGCTACCCGATTCTCGCTCAGCTCCCTGCGCGCCGGTCCTGTCGGAAGATTTCAGGTCGCCATCAATACGTCATCATGCAGACACTCGGCGGGCCCGCTCTCATTTCTTCGCACATAGACCTTATGCCCCCTCCCCTTGTAATCTCACTCCTTTCTACACATAGAGGACAGAAACAGGTGGCGCGCCTTCCTATCCAGGTGGGGATTTCCGGTTAGTGCTCTTTCGCTCGGTTTGGACTGGGACGTGCGAACCAGAGGCCCAACGGCGACCGCCTTTCCGGCGTCCCCCGCCGGAGGGACGGCCCGACCATCGGAGGAGAGGGGGCTAAGAGGAGAGTGTGAACCCACCCATTTAGGGTTCTGCATTAATCTGCATGTTTGTGCTCATCGTCGTGGTCTATTATGATGACTATGTGATCGTATCAATGACGGAGGAGAGGACCTGGCAGCAGCTTCGCCATGACCATCTTCGCGTGCTCGAGGTCACTGTCCTTGGCCCAGAAGCTGAACGGCGCCCAGGGCGGCAGCTGGAGCTTCCCTTCGCGTCGGCAGAGGAAAACGGAGACGTTTCAATTTAGTTCATTCATTGTGGAAGAGCGAAGAGGACGAAGGAAGAGGGAGTTGGATGTTAACGTACAGGTGTGCGGCGGCGAGACGTTGAGGTGGAGCAGCGTGGTGTAGACCAGCGGCAGGAGTAGCATCCAGGCGGCCAGCCTCATCGAGCTCTTTGCCATCATTGCAGAAACCACCCGTACCTCTCCCATAACCTCCGGCACGCTATGCTTGGGAGCCCTACTTGCTCCAGGCGGAGGAGGAGAGGGTGTAGGGGAGAGAAGAACCCACGGGTGGGTGGGTTCTACTGTTTGTGCTCTGCTGGGGAGTCCCAGTCGTCCTACCCTCCCCACCTTCAGCTTTTGAAGGCTCTGAGAGAGAGAGAGAGAGAGAGAGGGCACACCAATCATCTTGCAGCTCTGCCTTCACTCGCTCTCCTTATTCATAATCATCTTGTTCTTCGTCGGTGTGATGTTCCGGGGGGAGATGACGAAGTGCGAGCAGACAAATCCGCGGCCACTTCTGTTTGGCGAGACGGCGACACCGCAACAGTTCCCCCACCCCGTCGAACGGTTCACCGATCCTCATCGAGCCTGTTCGTAAACACCCTGGCCACTCCTCCTGCATGCTACCATCTCACCTCCACCATCAGATCTTTTGAGAGAGAGAGAGAGAGAGAGAGAGAGAGAGAGAGAGAGAGAGAGAGAGAGAGAGAGACGGTAGGTTGCCTTGAACCCATTTTAAAAAATCAACATGTGAATCAAACCCACCTCTCCATCTCCTTGTCTGTCTCTTTTGGCGATAAAAGAAGAAAGAGTTGCCATAAACTCCGCCGCAAAATCTACATCCAGTGTGGAGACAGAGCAGTTTACCAGAAGCGGTCGTCATCACCGACGCTCCCCCAACGGCCCTCCGCGTGCTTTCCATATCCTTGTTGACGAGCGAACCCCCGCCCGTCGCTCTCTCCGCCGCAGACCCCTCCCCGTCCGCGGATGAAGAAGCTCCCCCGCCGAGAAAGCCACGCCTCACCTGCCGGAGCCTCGTACATTCCAAAATAAACGTGCCCTTCTCGGAGAGGAATCTGCGTATCTTACCTCTCCCTCTCCGTATACTCTGAGATAGATAGAGAGAGAGAGAGAGAGAGGGGGGGCTGACTTTCCTTTAACGAGATGACAGGTGACCATGTAGATCGACGGCCGCCGATCGTATGTGAGATGTCTCCAGCTATATAATCATGGAATGTAATAGCATGTCGAAAACTCGAGCAATCAATCTCCTATTCAATCGATCATTTACTGTAATTATTTTTTACCCCCACGGGAATTATCTTATTTGCAGCGTGAAATCTTTGAAAAATCGTGCTCCACGAGGAGGACAGATCAGATATTTAGAAAATAATAAACCCTTTTGTCCCCTAAATTTCGTGTTTCACTATGAGCGCAATATTTCAGAGCACCTTCCGGGTAAACGACACACCGACGTGGGTCTTATCACAAAAATCCTCGAGGTCCTTTGACCAAGAGGCCAGCAGGCCAAACCATTAAATAAAAGGTGATGGTGGGGAGGGCAAAGAAGACAACTCGGATTATTTTACCGTGTTTTCAGAGAGGGGCGTCGAGCCAGGTGTCCGCCCGATGGGGCGGGGTGGTGGTTCGCGAGTCCACTTCAGGCCGATCTGCGCCCAACCGGCCGCTGGGTTCCAGCGAAATACATCCATCAATGTTCTACACGAGCCGCCAGATCACTCGAAAGCTCTGAGCGATAAAATGGAAATATTCTAATTCGGAGTGCAAAAGGCGGCATCTGTTCTTTATAAAAATAACACTCGCACCACACGCTGCGTGCCCATTAAAAAAAAAAATGCAACCTTTACCATATTGGGTCAACATTTTTTCCATGAACGTGACAAATCTATTATTTATTCATTTTATTATTATTCTTATTATTAAAGGGGTAATTTGATATCGTAATCTGGAGAGCGGAGGGAGGGGTGGTCTGGTGCTGAGAAGTTTGCCCATAGTGGGCTTGTTGTGATGGGCTCGTGGGCTAACATGTTACACCTTGCAGCCCGTTTACCCCGAATAGAAACCGCGGTGAGGTTTTTCCCCAGCGTTGAGCCTGCTACTCTCGTCGTCCGTGTGGGAGGAGAACATTGCCCAGAGGGGCGGCGGGGCCGTCTGGGCTTCTCATGGCCTCGTGCTGTATTAGACTGAGGGGCAGGGGGGCTGGATGTCGACGTCACTCGAGGGTTGGGCGCGGCTCGTGTACAGGTACCGGACACGTCCGACGCAGCTTGACCAAGTACACGCGCTCCTCGTCACCACCGGCTTCTTCTTCCTTCCCTGGACCCTCTGTCATTCGTCGCCGTCGCCGGAGGAGGAAGACAGAGGGGGGTCTGTGTTCGTGTACAACATATTGATCGCAGGGTCGCTTCTCAGGGAGCGACGGCCCGACGGTGGCCCCACCGCCCTCCGCCTGTTCATCCAGATGCTCGCCCAGCAGACCCGCCCCAACGGCTACACCTTCCCTCCCCTCGTCAAGTCGATCACCTCGTCACCAAGAGTTTCCACCGGCAGAGCCGTCCACGCCCAGCTCGTCCGCCGCGGCCTCGTTGCTGACAACTTTGTCAACAGCGGCATGGTGAAGTTCTACGCGCAGTCGGGCGAAGTCACCGCCGCCCGGAAGGTGTTCGACGAGAACCCCCGCCCCGACGTCGCCTCCTGCAACGCCATGCTGGACTCGCTCTGCAAGAACAGAGACGTCGGCTCCGCCAAGATGATCTTTGACGGCGTGCGCTTCCGGGACGTGGTCTCCTGGACGACGCTGATCAACGGGTTCCTGGTGAACGGACTCCCAGAGGAGGCAATCCGGTTGTTCAGGGATATGGCGACGGGCCGCGGCGGAGTGGCGCCACCGCCGAGACCCAACGAGGCCACGCTGGTCTGCGCGCTCTCGGCGTGCGCCAGCTCTCTGCGGCTTCCCCTCCTGGCGGGGAAGCAGCTCCACGGCTACATCCTACGGCGCGGAGTCCGGCTGACCGCCTTCCTCGGCACGGCTCTCGTGGACATGTACGGGAAGCGCGGGAGGGCCCGCTGCGCCGCCAACGTGTTCGAGGCGATGGCGGAGAGGGAGGTCTGCACCTGGAACGCGATGATCTCGGCGCTGGCCTGCAACGGGGAGGAGGCCCGAGCGCTGGGGGTCTTCGGGGCAATGGCGGCGCACGGCGTGCGGCCCAACGGGGTCACCTTCGTCGCCGCGCTGACGGCCTGCGCCCGCGCGCGCCTGGTCGACGCGGGCATGGCGCTGTTCGCGTCGATGCCGCGCGACCACGGGATCGCGCCGGCGATGGAGCACTGCGGCTGCGTGGTGGACCTTCTGGGGCGGGCGGCGCTGCTGGACGAGGCGGCGGAGTTCATAGAGGGGATGCCCTTCGCGGCGGACGCCTCCGTGTGGGGGGCGCTGCTGGGGGCCTGCCGCCTGCACGGGAACACCGCGCTGGCGGCGGTGGCGGGGGCGCGGCTACTCGCGCTGCAGCCGAGGCACGCCGGGAGGTACGCGGTCCTGTGGAACACCTACGCCGGCGTGGGGATGTGGGGCTCCGCCGCCCGGCTGAAGGAGAGCATGGAGAGGGCCGGGGTGACGAAGACGGCCGGGTGTAGCTGGCTGGAAACCACCCCCGCAGCAGCAGCAGCAGCACAGAGTTAGGACATCATAAATCACAAAAATATCACTTACTGATTGAATTTCGCTCGTGTGAGATGTTGACTTGAAGAAAGAAAGAAAGAAAGAAACACCGAGATTGGTGCTGGTTCTCTCTCACAGCTTCTTGCCCGTTCATGGGCGCGGCGGGGTCAACCCAGGAAGGCGGCAGTTGAGGAAAGTTATTGTAGACTGTAGGTACTTATCCTGGGGGTGAAGACATGATCGAGCCACCTTCATCATCCGGGAGCACATCGACAAAAGCCCCTCGCTGGCCTGCACGATAAGCTGGCTGCATGATCTGTACATGAAGATATTGATTCTACCGATACAGAAAAATAGGATCTTGGGACCTACTTCGAAGGATATTACCAGGCAATTGCACGCATCAAGGGCCAGTTTTCCGAGCATGCCCTTGAAGAGGGGAGAAAATTCGTCAGAAAAGCATGGGACGGAGACCATGACAGCGGTGAAGAGACAGGCAGAGAGGAATTTACTGCGTTGGGCTCTCTCTCAATCCTCTCCACCAGGTCTCGCGCCGCAAGATCAGAGGTCGATGCCAGATCTCGCTTGTATGACGCATCCTCAAAGAAAAGTAAGTCATTTCCCACAACCTACACATATTAGATACGCAGCAAAAAAGGTGCAGTGCATGAGAAAGAAAATCATGCGCTGCTCACACAAAGCATTAGTTACTTGTAAGGGATATGTCATCGAATATCCTAATGCATTAATCAAATGAAACGAGCTAGCTTGCAACTCATCTCAGGTTGACCATCTCAAGACTTGAGCCGCAAAATCACATCAGGAAAGAGAGAACTTAGCCTGAACTAGCCAATCCCTCTCTGGGCCAGTATTAAGACTTGCATAGGGTCGAGCTTGGAAAGCTTGGAGCTCATCTTACCTTCCATGCGATCATCCCTCGATCGACCCATGAGGTCCCCTACCCCCTTTTCCCCTCCCTCCCTCTCTCGAAGGGCTGAGCTCGTGTATCAGACATCTTCGGGGACGGGCCCAGTGCATGAGAGATGCATGTGAATCTTACCTCTCTATTACTTGATTGGTATGGAAGCTCCTTTTGAGAAAGGGTTGCCAACAGATGGATGATTGCGCACAGCATCTTTACTCTCACTACCAGCGTCACCCTAATACGGGAGGTTTATGGGTCAGAAACCAGCAACATAATGAGCGTAAACCACTTGATTTGGAAGCGCTTACCATGACTGAGAATCAACCAGGGAAAACAAGGTCCGGGCTATTCGAGAAGCTCTTTCTCCATGAGTGCCTTCAATAAAGAAGGAAAGATCTAAGACGAGATAGAGGCAGTCCCATGTAAAACATCCACAAGGGTATGACCGAAATGGCGATTATTTAGGTCGAAACTAAATTATCAAATCCAAATCAGTCAGCCAAGGAAAAGGCCGATTCACTTTCCGTCCACAATATAAAGCATGAAATGAAACGAGAATTTAAATAATAAAAAAACAGATTAATATTAAGGTGGTGCTTCATGTTGAACATAAACACGGTAGTAATCTTCTACATTTATCACTACTTTGCAATTAGCATCCATCAAATGTCAAAGAGGATGTATTAGACTAACATGGAACCATAACTAAGGTGCTGCATAATTTGAGTAATGAAGACAGTATCCGGTCTGCATCAACATGTGCATTGGCGCCTGAAATTAGAAAAAAAAGGTGACTTTAACCAGTTGGAAACTCCAATAAGATAAAGAGAAAAAATTAAAAAGAGCAATAAAAAATATTCCACGGGCATAAATCATCAGATTAAAAGCTTGTCAGACCTATTCTCATCTTCAGGATACTTTTTTTTTCTATAAAAATGACATAAAACATGCTAGAAAACCTACATTTTAATAATACTAATCAAAAGTATCAGTAGTCTGGTGTATAATCTCACACATGTAATAACTAAAACACCTCATTAATCATATATTAAAACTAAATAAAACAACCTATATTCAAGTTGGTGCTTTCCAAACAGCTGATTGCTGCGCCAACAAGTCCATCAACGTGAGAAATCAAACCAGCTGACAAGGCAACCTATAATAACAGGAAAAACAATTGTCAGATCAATTTTTAATTGTATAGCAAGTGCACATGTGAGAACTAGGAAGACATACCTCAGCAGTTTCGAGATATAGATTCAGACAGCACGATGCATCTAAAATAGAAGGTATTGTAACTTCACTAAATGCAATACAAGCTCTAATGAAACCTAGAAACTTATCCACATTTTTAATTCCTCTGGTTGCCAAAGCATTGCTTGAGTGAATGAAGTACACCTGAAAAATAAAAATATTTTACGAAAATTCGAATTCACTTGAGCTTCAACAAAGCTTTTGACGCTGAATTAGTAAACTTAATTTTCACACTGTGAAAACCTTTAACTCGTTGATGTTTCTGAAGGCAACACGACACTCAACCAAAAATTGCAATTGGCCCTCCATTTCATCACCAAAGTCAACCTACAATAAACAGGCCTTCAAATTCCATGCTCACGCAAAAAATGAATGAATGTGACTGAAAGTTACCGTCTGAACAAAACGACATATGAGCCCAGCTATTGTATGATTTCCATTCTTTGAACTTGAAAAGTTGATACCATCATGAAGGGCCCTAGAGGCTTCAAAAAGAAATTGTATGGTTCTGGGATCATGAATAAAAACATCCCTGTTCAATAAATGAGCAAGAAGGCCCCATTAAAAAGTCATTTTGTTAGCCATCATTGTCATTCTAAGATATTGTTAATACGACACTAACATCCTGTCAGTAGAAATGACAGACAATATCCTGATGCCATTATTCGTAATTAAGACGATGAGCACAGCCTGCTAGGTTGCAGTGTTACCATATTCTCCAACTTAACGGTCTATTTTTCCCTTTCAGAGAAACTTCGAACCTAAGCATAGAAAGTGGAGATTATACACCCCCCCCTCCCCATTTCACATATTTAATTCCGAGAAACTTCGAAAATCGAATGAACATCAATCGGGAAGGATGACTTCATATTTTACTATGAATTAATTGCAAGTTTTTGCCGTTCCAACTAGCTTCCCTTTTTTATTTTATAAAAATAAAATTTTGACCGATTAGGTGGATCATGTTGTGTATCTATTAACATCTTTATAGTCCATTCCATGCAATTTATGTATAACTATTTATCAAGCTTTCCTAGTTTTTCAAATGTCTGGGAACTTTGAACATGATTGATGGTCTTATTTAAACAATAAATATATATCTCCAACTAGTACGAATTACTCTAATAATTTTACATCGTAAAGTCCAATTATTAAATATTCCAGGCTTCCATTGTAAATCCAATTAGTCATGGATCGAGTAAACTATTGTATTTTAACAACGTGTTTTAGTTCACTCAATTAACGCAGAACTATCGTAGCATACCCCTTCATATCCATCCTGATTATCTCAGACTTTGGCTAGTGAGGAATATAAATGAGGCATTCACAACCTAGGGAAAAAACATGACACTCTAATATTCAAAAACTTTCCATTAGTTTAAAAGTAATCGTCTATGAATGAAGAGAAAACCTGCATTTTCGCCACAAGTTTAACTGGTCCTAAGCAATGTGGCACTATTATAACAGCAGCAATGTCAATAAAACGCTATTTCATTTTTTCCGAAAACACTGATCAGGGAAGAAAAATTATTACCCTACAATTTGATCTTATCCGTACACATGAACTAATTTGTATGGATTACAAGAAATTTTATTTTTGCCAGAGCAACAAGAGGGAAATCGTGAAACGTTCTCTATGCCTTACAGCAAAGAATATAAGCACAGATACGCACAAAAAGGCAGAACGAAGTACCTTGTCACCTTACCAAGGATATGCCTACTCGCTGTAATGCGTGGATCACCGTTCAATAAATCAAAAATCTGAATAAAATGTTTCTGGAAAGAAAAAAATGATCATGTAAAAGTGTTAAGCACCCATCAGAAGAACCTAATTCGCCATGCTTTTAAAAATGGCGGTCATGGCAATAGATCAAGCTACCAATTACCTATAAAAAATATTTAACTTCTTTATTTGCACATTTAAATAAGTTTATTACGATTAATTGATGAAAAAAATAATAAACAAAAAATTACTATGACCATTCTCTAATGGTGAGAAAGTTGCATGGCGAAATAATTTCAGCACGACTTGAGATAGAATAGTTAGCTGTTGTGCACTGACATATCTAATAGACATCTGATAAAGAGCATAGTATAAGGGCCTCACTTCTCTTTTATAGAGGAGAGACAATTCATAAATAAATTTCTTTTCCTTATTTTCTATATCTTGCTTCGTAGAGTAATCTTAGGATAAGGGTCTCATCAGTTTTCTGGCCTGTAATTTCCTCTAGAAGTTCTCCTCGGTGCTCCTCTCCTTTACTATCATACATGAAACTGCTAAGGCTTTAATCATAGCCGCACAGAACCACAACAGCAATTCTATCTTTTTCTGTGATTGGAGCCATCTTAAAGGATACACGGCCACTTGCTGGATTGCCCCTTTTTTGAGGATGATCATTATATTGCTATTCATTGAGTGATATCTTCCCTTGATATCATAGCCACCTTATAAATATGGTCACCCCCTTGTCTTTTTTACCCATATCATTCCTCTACAATTCTTTCACTGCTGGAGAGCTTCGCCCTCCCCATGCCGTAGCTTTTTGCTATTTTGCATCATGACTGGTCAGTCATTTCTTCAGTGGCAAGCATGCCTACAACATCTAGGGCTTTGTCAAAGTAATACCTCTACACCACAACTACTATCTTCTACTCTGAGGTTCATCTAAAGCAACCACCGAACCATATGGCCTGGTCTGTAGATAAGGCATTGGAGCCAGCATTCTCATCGTCATCTAATGTAGATTTTTTCTTATTAATCTCAGCAACCTCATGACTTTATCCTTACCACGCTCAAAGGAGACTCCAGGCATATGATACGATTCCACGACTAACCTACAAAAGGCATAAGAAAGGAGCACACGCACAGCACGTGAGTGAGACTATAAGTACAACACGAGAAGATGGGATATAGGGCAGCAAAGTTGGTATTCAGGAGAAGTGGGGGAACCCTCTCGAACATTGTTCCCCACTTTACTCTTCTTCTCCCTTTTCGTCTCTGTATCCGAGAAGGTAGTCCTCATTGTTTTGTCTCTTGCTGCTGGTGAGGGTTCATGGGTTCAATACAAAGTGTTCCATCTTTTCTGCTTGCCCAAATTCGATCCTACCCTTGAGGATCGTATCATTGGTATCAAAGCAGTGATCTTGCAACAATGGGCAATATGGCACCAAAGATATCAGACGCACATTTCTTTGAAGCCCTAGAAGCAGACAACAAGAACTTTCGAGCAGACCAAAGAAGGATGGTCGAAGACATGTAGAAAGCATGGGAATAATCCACAAATTTGATGTGTCAACTCTTACAAAACATGCAGCAATTTCAGCTGACAGTATGTACAAGATTGGAGGCTTTGGAGAAAAAAGAACAGCCTCATCTGCAACCGACATCAAGCTACCGACCAGCACAACCGGAATCACAACACGAGGTACCACCTCTCTAGCCTCATCAAGAATATATTCCGAATGAAGCTACATCTGGTCATACAGTCATTACAGTACACCCAAAAAGAGAAAATACTAATATTCCCGGGGAACAATCCCAAAGCCTGGTCAAGATGTGCAGAGAGGTTCTTCACGCTAAACAAAGTACAAAAACAAGGCCAACTAGAATGGCAATGATGAAGCTCAAAGGCCTAGCATTGGAATGGTACTTATGGAAAGACGAAAGATATCCTTTCTATAACTGGCAGGAGTTCCGAATGCAATTGGGAAAATGCTTTGGCACTACGGTAGAGAGAAACATATTCCACAAATTCTTGAATCTCTAACAAGATCAATTAGTCAAAGAATACTGGGGTGAGGACAAGCGTCTTTCTACATATCTACTGAAACTCCAAGATGTGGTCATGGAGAATACTTATATGAAGGGTTTAAACCTAGAGATTCAAGTAGAGCTAGCCCGTATGGGTCTAGTGGAACTACTGAAAATTATGGATGTATCAATAGAAGCGGAACAATGCATTCGTACTCCTTGGGAAGCCTGGGAGAATATTTACTGAGATCTTCCCGGCAAGGTAACATTGCTTCCAGTAAATTCGCTGATAACTATTTACTTGCATGGTATAATGAATAGGAGAAGACTAAGCACCCAAATCCTCTCATAGAATGGAAGTCTGAGAGCAATTCCCCACCACAAGCAGCGAGGAGGGACAATAGGTACCGGAAATAGATCACGTTGACTGATGCGGAGTACCAAAGCCTCCATGAAAAAGGATTATGATTGTTATTACGGTGAGGAAAAATTTGACCCAGGACACCATTACAAAAAACAACTAAAAATTATTATTGTTCATGAAGATGACTAGGGGACTTTTGAGGATATAATACAGGATTTCAGGGATGAAGAGTCTCAACCAACAAAAGAAGGAGCAATGTTCACAGCACAAGTCTCCCTAAACTCGATGGTGGGACTCACGCAAGCAAAAACCATGAAGATGAAAGGGACATTGCAAGGACAAGTGATCACCATCCTAATTGGCTCAAGTGCAATGCATAATTTCATATGCCCGGAGTTAGGTGCATGCCTCAAGGTACCTTACACAGAAACTATGAATTATGAAATCTCATGGGAAATGGAGAGGCCCTCCAGGGTAACAAATTTGTAGGGGTATTTTCATACAAGTCCAAGGCTTAGACATGATTGAGGGACGTTAATCATGAAGTTCGTGGTAAATGGCATGGTAAAAGTCCTCACAAGAGATTTGAAACTGTCCAAATCAAAACTCTCACTAAAGATGTTGCAGAAAACTATTAGCAGACAGCCTACAATTCTCTTGGAGTTACATCAGATGCAACTACAACCCGAATTAGTGAGTACCACTAAGACCACTGAAATTGAATCCAAATTCAAACAATTATTTTTATCTGTGTTTTCTCTTATAATCAGATTACTGCTAGAGCATGAGGTGGACCATTCCATCAACATTGTTCCTAGTAGCAGACCAGTGAACCTACATCCATATCGATATTCCTACTTCCAAAAGGATGAAATTAAAAAGCTGATACAAGAACTCTGAGTGACAAGATTTATTTAACCCTCACAAAGCCTTTATGCAAGCCCTATCATATTAGTGAAGAAAAAAGATGGGGGATGACGATTTTGTGTAGACTATTGTGCCCTAAATAAGGTAACAATCCCCAACATATATCCTATACCTATTGTGGATGAGTTGATCAATGAGTTGCAAGGTACGAATATCTTCTCTAAGCTGGATTTAAAGTCCGGATATTATCAAATTCGCATTAAGGCCTTCGACATCTAAAAGACTGCATTTAAAACCCATGATGGGTATTATAAATTTATCATCATGCCTTTCGGTCTCTCCAATGCACCAGCTACCTTCCAATTGATTATGAATGAATTGTTCCGGCCCTTTCTAAAGAAATTTGTACTCATATTTTTTGATGATCTTTTAGTGTACAGCCAAAATCCACAAGATCACGAAGAACATTTGACACAGATCTTTAATGTCCTATCTAAGAACAGCGTCCATATCAATGTCAACAAGTGCAAATTTGCCCAACCTTGCATTGAATATCTAGGCCACTGAATTTCTGCCGAAGGTGTGGCAGCAAACAAAGGAAAGATCTCAACCATGATCAATTGGCCTCCCCCAAAGAATATTAGAGAGTTAAGGGAATTTTTGGGCCTCACGAGTATTACTAGAAATTTGTGGCCAACTATGCCTCGATTGCTTGGCCCCTAACCCAATTACTCAAGAAGAACTCCTACACATGGAATCCGTCCTCTCAAGCCACATTCCTCCAACTCAAAGAGAAAATGACTTCTACACCTGTTCTTGTTTTACCAGATTTTTCATTACCTTTTATTCTTGAAACAGATGTATCAGGCCATAGAGAAGGTGGGGTACTGATGCAGACAAGAAGACCAGTTTCTTTCCACTGGTCAAGTTCTTCCATATAAACATCAACTTGAATCAGCTTGCGAAAGGGAATTTATCGCCATTATCAAAGCAGTGCACAAATGGTAACACTATTTATTTCACATGCCTTTCATCATTCAAACGGACCAATATAATCTGAAATATCTTATTGAACAGCGGTATGTCCATCTCCAATATCACAAATGGCTCATTAAATTGTTGGGATTCAATTTTATTATCAAGTACAAGGAGGGACAACTTAATAATATGACTAATGCCTTGTCCCGAGCACCTCACATGAGGGACCTGAGGATGACTTCAATCTCCCAACCCATCTACTAGATCTAGTTATCGTCTAATAGAAAGTGTCGCGAAATACCACACTCTATCATATTGTGGAATTATTGACCAAAGGAAATCGGAAATACCTCATTTCTCTCTACACTATGGCATATTGCTATACAAAAACAAGTTGGTATTACCATCTGATTCATCCTTAATACCAATACTAAAAGAAGCCCATGATTCACCAATAGGAGGCCATAAAGGTTTTTTGCGCACATACAAGAGACTTACTCAGACCATCTTTTGAAAGGTCTTCTTACCAAGTATGGACCAGTGGAAAATTTTGAAAGAGTATGTCAAAGGAACAAAATTTCATCCATATCTCTTGTAGGTTTATTGCAACCGTTGCCCATCCGTCACCAAGTATGGGAAGATCTTTTTATGAACTTTATAGAAGGCCTACCCAAATCTAATAGTTTTGACAGTATATTACTTGTGGTGGATCATCTCAATAAAAACAGCCACTTCATTCTGTTAAAACACCTATTTTCAACACCACAAGTGGCACATACCTTTGCAAAAGAAGTGGTCTGTCTTTATGGCCTACTCAAATCCTTTGTTTCAGATCGTGACAAAGTATTCACTAATAATTTATGGTGCAAACTCTACAAGTTTTAAGGGATTCAACTCCAAATGTCATCATCCTATCACCCTTAGACTGATGGACAAACCGAAGTAGTAAATCTGTCATTAAATCTTCTCTAAGGTGTTTTGTATCAAACCGACTGAGGGATTGACAGTCCTAGCTGCATTTGGCAAAATTATCTTATAACACTACCTACCACTCCATTAAGACTGCTCCATATAAAGTGGTCTATAGTCGTGATATGGTCCTTATCCTTCACCCATCTCTACTGTGGACCAGCAACTACTGGAGCGAGACCAAATTCTAAACTTGTTGAAGCAACACTTGAGAAATTTTCAGTCTCAAATGAAACTCAAGGCAGATCGACACCTGGACCTATAGAGTTTCATGTCAAGGATCAGGTATTCCTATGACTTCGCCCCTACAAAATGAAATCTCTAGCAAGAAAAGTGAATGAGAAATTCTCCCCGAAGTTCTTTGGCTCATACAAGATCATCTCCTGCGTGAGACAAACAGCATACAAGTTGGATCTACCACCGTCATCATCAATCCATCTTGTGTTCCATACCTCTCAACTACGGCGAGCGTTAGCAACAACAAATCTTTCCCAACAACTTCCACCTTCACTAAGCTCAGACATTGAATGGTAGGTCCAACCTCAATCAATTCTAGGGCTGCGAATGACCCCTGCAGGCCCAAAAGTACTAGTGAAATGGAATAAGCTACCAGATCACGAATCTTCATGGGAACTGGCCTACAACCTCACACGTCAATTTCCAAAATTTTACCTTTAGGATCAGGTGAATCTGACAAAGGGGAGTAATGATACAATTCCACTACTAACCTACAAAAGGTGTAAGAAAGGAGCACGCGCGCAGCACATGAGCGAGACTATAAGTATAGCACAAGAAGATGGGATTTAGGGCGGCAAAGTTGGTATTCAGGTGAGGTGGGGGAACCCTCTTGAACATTGTTCCCCACTTTACTCTTCTTCTCCCTTTTCGTCTCTATACCTGGGAAGGTCGTCCTTCCTATCATTTTGTCTCTCGCCGCTGGAGAGGGTTCATGGGTTCAATACAAAGTATTACATCTTTTTGAGGATCGTATCAGCATACTATCCCAAACCTCAATCAAGTCGTTATGCCACTCACTATTTTGAGGCACGATTATGTTCAAAAGGGTACACATAATTAAAACTTTAGAAACTGGCTAAAGAAAGAGGAAACTCATTGGATAAGGTTTATCAAAAAAAATGCACAAAAATTATAGATTGTGGAATCTGCATGTGATAGTAAGATCCGTAGACATATAAGTTGCTCACTTCAGACCCTACTAAAATTAACAGACGCTTATTTTCTCTAGTGTTTTGCTTACATGCAGAAAAATGAACGGTAATACATGCCTTTCAGAAAAATGGAGTGCATAAAAAATTGAAAAGGAATGAATTTCATCTAATATCACATACCAGAGCAAGCACATCTTCTAAACCATTGAGGTTATGGATGACCTTTACGAGAATGGAGAGTAAACTGTCCATTTCATTCCCTGTTAAACTTTGATTTTCTGCTCGCTTCACGACACCATCTAAAACAAAAGAGACAGAACTATCCTGAAACAGCAAAGGCATGATAAACAGAAAATGGCAGTGAATATTTAACATCTGTTTCAAGGAAAATAACATTGAAGCAATAGGCATTATCATGAAAACTTTACCAAAAGGAAGAAGACAATACCAACTAACGCCCAATACCAATAGATGGGAATGCACATGAATTATTTAAAGCATATAATGAGACATTTGTTCATTAATGACTAGAAAAACAACATCGAATATCTATCAGAAATTATGTCTAGTAACACATAGGTTATAACTAAGAGGTGGCTCACTCTGTTGAAGTAAACAAATCTAACCTCTACAATCATAGTGAAGAGTATACGCAAAAGCATTTTGTACCAGAGAAGTGCAATGGATTTCATATGGTCAAGTAATGTACTCCATCTTCATATAAACTTATCGATTTACTTCATTCTCTTGTTCACTTTTAATGTTATCCATACACAGACACCAAAATATTCAGACAGATTAAAGATTTCGCTCAAGATATAAAGATCCATAAACAAAAATTTAATAAAACATTTAGACCCATAACCTCCCTAAAACCCCAGAAGTTTTAGTGGTGTGGTTACATATCTGCATAGGTTTTCAGGGTAATGATAGGGCACCCCAACAACCATATAGTCAATCTTGGACTACACAAAGAACTAGATGGTCGTGAAATAAATAATACTTCTTGACCTCATGCCAAAGCAAAAAGTAAAACCTTGATTCATAAGGAATAAAGAATAAAAAATGAAATAATTTAAAAGGAACTAGCAATACCACTGTATTTTGAAGGATAATTTCAAAGTAAGCATCCAAGACGATCAAATATTCAGCAAGACCATCATACTGAGAAACAACCTGCGATGTTTCATATGATACAGTCAACTCCTCGTAGCCATCAAAGGGAAATATTATGCTACAAGAAGGCAATCATACATTGTTTTAATCAGTAGGGTCAACTAGAGACTTTGCCATTTAAATTGCCAAAATGACAAAGGTTACATAGATATTATGCATTGATGGTGTCACATAAGTCCGAACAACTAAATCATAGAGTCTAACATGTAATACATTTAGTAAGGACGGCAAAAAATATTAACTTTTCTAGACAGAAAAAAAGAGCATCATTAAATAGAGAAATAGTTTTGCCATGATATAAGATCACCTTAAAAGATGAAACTGATACCCAGATGATGAGTAATCCCCAAGAGAGTTATTCTGATGATGAACTTTCTTGATGAATATATTTTACAATGTTGATAAGGGATAAGAAAGACGATATATAAGCATTTTAACATATGTATGGGTGAGAGTGACGATTACACCAGCTATTCAAACAACAATTATTAGGTATTCAAGCGAGCTATTCCCACTTTATGCTAAGCAGCAAAGATTCGTAGAATATAGAATCTTCCAGATGCTTTTTGTAAAATGTAGATTCGTACATATGTGCTTACAGAAAAGTTTGCAATGCGAAAGTTAAAGTGTCGAAGTGATTTTCCCATGTTATTTTTTTGGAAAGAAAATCCTAGTATCTAGACTAAAGCATGCTCTTGTTGCTACTACGAATGGAATAGCTTCACATCAACACCAATAACTAGTTTAAATAAGAAGAATACAGCATAATGAACCAATATAAGTCCAAACAAAAACGAATTGAAAACAACATTCTGTAAGTGCAATCTTCTACAGGAATTATCACAGTCAACTCTTCAGTAGCATAAAAATCACAAAACACTCCACGGATGTCGGTTATTTCAAGTGCATGTGCAAAGTAGTTATAGTATATCAAGACATAGATGTAAACAAAGCAGGAAAAGGGAGATTCGGAGATGTGACGTTAATACTTGGAGGACTTTCTTTACAATAATGTCTGAGTGGTTGACAGAGAGTTGGCTTTCACTAAGTTTGAGGCCAAGCAACCTGAAATTCAAATGCTGCAAACAACAGTCAATGTTGGCAATGAAGGAACCACATTTATCACAACAACTAAGCACTGCAAAACAAAATCGTATACATTCGTTTAACAGTATACCTGTTCAAATGAGATATCACTACTGCACTTAATAAGCTCTAAAAGCTCCAAGGCGTTTATGAGAACAATATTTCCCGGAAGCTCCTTCAGAAGATAATGAAGTACTACTGACAAACATGGAGTTATCTCATTTGACTGGGAAATATTTTTGCTTAATCCGAATTTGATAAGAATGTCTTGGGCATTCTACATCCAACATGCAATCTGCATTAGTCGAGCTAATTTTTTATTTTCAAAACATGGATAACTAAGTAAATTAATCAATTTATAAAAATAGCTCCATCTACTGATAAGAGTAAAACAAGCAAAAAGTCATTCAATACATGTTTCTCAGCCTTTAACATGACTTTCATAATCCACTCTATAGCAGGTTCCAACAAGGATATGAGCAATCTCTTGTTCCCACCAAGATTACTACCAGTTATTTCTTTCTCAATAATGATCCTCCTTAATGAGATGCTGATATCATTGATGGAAATCACCAGGTACCCTGCCAAAGTATGACGCGATAATGTTATGCAGGCGGAATAATGAGAATTAAATAGACAAACCAAGCCATCTGTTTGTAATTTAAAATGATTATGAAAATCCATGCATGACAGCCTAAAACATAAAAAAGACGAAACAAATAACTTTCAGTAAGAATGAAAATATTTCCAAGGGTTGATGGTTCTTGTCGGGAGGTACATAAATACTATCTCAGATTCATAAAGAAGTTATTGATGTAGAAAATCTTGAATTAGAATTCGTGCATCAAGGCACAAGTGATGATACTTCACTGCAGATGATTTTTAAAGATCACATAAACTAGTTTTACTTGCAGACTCTGTAGGTATAACGAGCACTGGGTATACTCTATAGGTCCAACAAGTGCTTGGTCTAACACACAGACTCCGAAGGTATAACAAGTGCTCAGTAAGAAATCTCTTTGTTAAACAACAGCCTTTCCATTTGCCTTTCCGAAGACAATAAATTGAATGCTTTGGATCACTAAAATTCTAAGTTGACTAGGAGCAATAAATGACAAATTTGTGCCGCACGAGTGATCCTAGACACTTCAGTAACGTGATTCACCAGAAAATTAATGTAAGAAAGATAATGGAAAATTTTAGCAGCAAATTATGCATTAAGAAAACTTATCAGGAGCAATTTCATTATTGTCATTATGATGTTACGAAGAGGCAGTACATGCCTGATATGGAATTATGCTAAAGTTAATTCTCCGAGGAACAATTTTATAGTTAATTATACAAACGGACTCCTTTGAAATAGTATCATGTATTCGGAGCAAGCACAAATTTAGCCAGTAGAAGGAAACTCTGATCTTATGTTGACAACACATCAGGAGGTGTATTCCACATCCGAGAGTAGACTTGCTGAGGTCTATAAAATTTAAATTACTACGACCACCATGCATAAAACGCAATGAGTCGCAGCTTGTCCACAATAGCTAGGTTACTGAATGTTGTCAGAAAAACATCTGGATATTGGCATTGGTCACTGCCAATGCATTTATTCACGTTGAATATCGACTAGCATTGTGAATGGTTTCAAACACCAACAGATTTTCAGCAAATCAAAGCCACCCATCAAGGATCCATGACCAAAGAATTTCGCCTATTCCTCATCATAAAAGTTAAAGCAGTCAGATTTCCTGTAAATAAATGAGTTTTCAACTTCTTTCAAACCCAAGGAACATGCAGACCTACTGGTCCAAAAACGAGAATGCCAAGCTCAGGGAAATTTGAAATTAGTGTCGAGATCTTCAACGAAAAACATGATTCTCTGTCGCTAGGTTCAACTATTTTAACGAAAGTAATATACACCAATGAGTATAATCCCATTACATTCTTCAAGTAAAAACAAGGCTATCTAACACGTTGAAAATTTTGCCAATCACGAAGTTGATATAATCATATAAACAGTCACGAATTTCCCATCAGTTTAGATACGATCATTCATCATACTTTTGAACAAAGATGTTTTTAATGCACTGTAGTCCCTCCTTGTGTAGGCATTTCTTTTATATATTTTTTACCCCTTTCTTTTTGTTTATGTACTTTCAATTTAGTATTAAATGAGAGATACATGAAAGCATTGACAAATCTTATCATAATCATCCAAAAGCAGCTAGTTCAGAACCCTAGAAACACCAAATATCGAGTATAACAGGCAATCTGGCCCAACAATAATATGCCAGTTTTGTTGAGAGAATTTTTTTTGGCTTCACAAGCATTAAAATACATGGAAAAAATATAAATTATTTATCAGGTTTAAAAAGGAACTTCCATTTGCATTTGCCTATTCGGATGTACCTACGTCACCAGGATCCAGACTCTGAACACAGTGAACCATATATAAATGACAGTAAGCAGATGTCACAGGATCTGCTAATCCTCTCATCATCATAGTCAGTCGCCTGAGGTAGGATGACGGGTTTTCCTCCAGGAAGCGCCAACAACGCAAAATGGCAAGTTCCAGATATCTGAAGAATCATTTATATCAAATGAATGGTCGTAAAAAGTTAGACAAAAGACAACAAATTCAGACTTCAAGCATTAGAAGATGAAAGTATCTAGGAAAGCACTATGGGGAAAAAGAAAATTTGAATTTTATCAGTAAAAATGTGATCTCATGGAATAAATTCCACCAGCTCTGAAGTAGCACAACATCAATACTAGGGAACTAGAACAAACATTCCACTGGTAGATATTGAAAGATAATAAAAAATGAATCATTGGGATGAAAAAGGTGTAACGAGGAGTAAACTAATTCAAGTATAAATGTTTTCAACCCCAGTGGATCTCATCAATAATGTTATCAAATGAATTATCATCATCATTCTTTGATAGCCTAGGTGGCAACGTCTCCCCTGTACAATCAAAATCAGCAAAAGGATACAATACCTCATAAATTGTCTCCATGGCATTTGAGCCCCTTCTTTGACTGATATATATCTACTACTAATACGTTGATCTTGTTAAAATTATTTGGCCATTCAACTCATTTAGTAGTAATTTCACCTACTACGAAATCCTTGTCATCTCTTAAGTAAATGAGATTAGTAGGAAAACATTAAGGACATTCCCTTATTAAATATATATTTCAATATTTTGTTGCACTGTTGTAGTACACTTTATTTTACACAAGTCGGAATACACATTATCTCATACGATTGCACAAACTGAGTCCAATTTTTGTCGCATTAATAGCAAATATTAAGACAAAATCCTAATAGTACCTGTCCTTTAATTTAGAAGTTCACTGACCTCAATTGTTTGATTAACTAGTAATAAGTGATATTTACAATTTCAGACGAAAGCACAATGAATTGAACAATTGTTCCAATTCATCAAGGATAATCTTATTGCTATTTTAACTTGCTGAATTTTTAAACAACCAGAACTCTTGACGAATTATATCCCCTCGCAGTCATCTTCCCAAAAAATCCACTTAAATCAAGCATGTTCCTCATTAACATATCCAAAGCAATAAAACATGTGGAAATTGAGTAAAAAATTGATCACCAATCATCATCTTTATTGTATCTCCCTCTCAATATACTATGCATAGTTGTACAGATCCTTTACATCAGTTTCAAGGCCCTGATGAGAAGGTAATCAAAATGTCTGTTGGAGTACCTCAAATTATTGTACCTCACGTCTCTCTTTATTGTCTCACGCGTAATGTGTCATGTTTTTTCTTTTCTGAGTTCTGGTGTCTAGAACCTTTTGAGAGGGTCAGATATAAATACTAGAACCCCGCCGTGGGTTGTAACATGGAAAAAAACATTATTCTTCATTCTCGAATTCAACCTCCATCCATCTTGGGCGAATGGATACCTTCTCAAGTGCATGAAGAAAGTGAATGAGGATTGGCATGGTATCAAAGTCAATCAAGGTGTGATTGCTCCTTTTTTATCTTTCTCTCTGTGTGGGAGATTTATTTTTTTGTGTACCCTTTCTTGAGGACGTCTGGTCATTGATGACAAAACCAACTTGTGCACCTCTTCTTGTTTCTTTTCTTAAGCTTATGTCAGAAGTAGGCGACATGCCTTGATGGATTCTAATTCTGGAACATCAAGACTGGTGGTAGAACTCCCTGATATGCACAAGAAATTCAAGTTAACTGGTTATAACCTAATCTAGTGGTCCGAATACATTAGGGAAGTTTTGATTGGGTGAAGGATGTTACATCATCTGGAGGATATGAAATAATACCACTCGTCACGTCAATTTTGGAGGTGGCAGAAGGAGGATACCTTGATAAAGACTTGGATATGGAGAACTATAATTCCCCAACTTAGTCAGGTTTTTTTTCATGGCTATTGCCAAGGACTTAGGGGAGACATTTCAGACCAAAATCCTTGAAGAAAAATAACGAGTCACACATATGAATTGGAGACAAATCTCTCTCTATTGCTCAAGGATCCAAGTCAGTAATGGAATATGCTGGGGAATTGAAAAACCTACGACAAAAACTTGATTATTATCTCAATCTTGAGACTGAAAATCCTAGTGAACTTGTTATTCTGCAAAATTTCATATAAAAGCGACCTATCTTTAAATTTCTTACTAGATTAAACCTTGTGTTTGATAATGTCGAACAGTAAATTTTAGGACATGAGAGGAGATCAGACCATGATGAGGTGATCTCAATTGTTCTAAATGAAGAAAGCCATCGAAAGTTGATTTAACCAAATTGTTTAAGATACCCTAAAGGTCTAAGTTCATAATATAATTAAAAAGCTAGAGAAGGTAGTGAGGCATACATGCGAGGAAGAAGCTCATGTATGGAACCAATTTTGGCAAACCAATTATAGCATAACTCTTTGGCATCAAAAGAAACATCTCCAGGCACAAAGTCATCTGAAATCAAGAAGAAACATAATTATAAAGTAATCATGTGAACATGAATAATGTTAGAATAGTGATATTGGGTTACATGTGGGAATAAGGTTATTAGGCTTACTAAGTCTAATTACCTATTGGTATCGGATCGAACCACTTATACCCGGCACACAATCCGATAGTCAGGAATCATGTATTAAAGGGTCACGAACCTAACCCTAAAGTAATGAAGTTCTTTTCTTCTCTCTCTCTCTCACTTTCTGGCGGCTCTCCTGCTGGTTCCAGTGGCTGTGCCCTAGCCCAAGGCGGGAGGAGCTCCGACAAATAAATAGTAAAATTTAGATCTATAATCAATGTCCCTATGACTATAGATGTGAGTTTTAATCATTTCCAGACAATAAAATTGACAACTGAGGTAAAGATTTTAATTAGAGTAGATATAATTAGACCCCTGGGTACACATGATTCCTCCCATGTTGTTCACTATAATATTCATTGACCAGAGGTCTAAAGTGCCTCGGAGCATCATCCGCGTACTCTCTCCCTCAATAAAGATTATCTTGACTCTCCCAACAAGAGGAAGCATGGTGGGGAACTAACTATCCAAACATAACAGCAGCATGGAAACAATCTTTCCCTATGTCTAATCCTCGTCCAAAAAGATTAGAATGTACCATCTTTGGATCAATCCTTTTCTAAAACTAAACAATATCATCATTTCGATCAGGAAATCCCCAGCCTGCACGGTGTCCAGGCTTTAGCCCACGTATGCAAATTCCAGTCAGTAAATAAGCGAACGGCATTATTTAGCAAAAAGCAAAAACTAGAATCTAACCAAGACCTGAACTTCAATTCCGTCATTTGTACTCAATTACAAAACATGAACGATGTCACACATGATGCATGGATTACATTCATCGCTCAGAATATCATAAAGATGCTACCTACTATCACCACTAGCACCATACAGTGACAGAGATAGTGAACGATTCATCTAAGAGGTCAATAAACATTGCTCAATGAAACCACGACAGGATCCATAAGTTAAGCAGAAAAGGCTAATAGATGTGCACACAAATATATGCAAAAAAAATTAACATTATTAATGAGGAAGCACCATAAGATGTTCATTGTATCTCACTTATTAGCGAACAAAAATCTGGGTTAACAAGTTCTTTTCTGGTCTTATTCCAAAATCATGAAAAATATCCCATCATCAGACATTTGGGATACCAATCAACAGATAAGGACACTCTTCATCAGCCAATCCTTTATTTCAACCTTCAGTCTTTCAGTATCCATAAGCCTTGAAATGCTTCCAAAATCCCCGAATATTGAGTAATTTCCTTGTTCAACACATTTTTGGTCATAATCCTTACATTTTTTGTCTCTCAAGTAGGAGATTAAACCCCGAGAATATAATATGTTTACTTTAGTTTTTCTACGGGCTCCAACTCACGGATGGTGGATGCAGATTTTGTTCAAATAGGAACAGAGATAGCAGGATCCACTCATTTTTTTTCACCTTCTGAGTTCAAGCATCAAAGACCTAGTTTGGATGGCATAAATAAAAATTCAAAGACCACTCAAAAAGTGCAGCAACTTCTTTTCATCAGTGGGGGGTCATTGCCCCTAAATAGGAGATCCAGAAAACAACTCCTTCTAAGGCCTCAATTTCTCTTCCACCTGGGAGAGGTTTTAGTGAGTTCACAAATTGTCTCCATGCTTTTTTGTGAAGTTAGAACAATCGGACTGCCTGGAGCTTTCTCATGTGATCGGAAACTGAGCAAACCGTTCCCCTCAAGAAACAGATAGCTTACCCAACAGGAACCACGATGACCAAAAAGTCAGGGTGCAACTTTCACTATTACATGAGATCAGGAGACGAAAAATGTCCTTTTCTATCTTTACAAAAAAAATATATCCACATCCATCGAGAGATGAAAAAAATAAATGATGAATGATTCACTAATTAATAGGGAACCCACCTTGCAAAGCACAAATAAAATTTCCATCATCAGTCCATTCAGCCTTTCTTTTAATTCGATCCCATACCAAATCCCCAAGTAGATCCATTATCTCTGTCACTAAAACAAATAACACAGGATAAAACTGGAAAAGAGATGTGTCACTCAGAAACTTTGCAACCTGCAATAAGAAAAAGGCAAATAAGGATAAAGGCTAGTAATAACAACAGTATTTCTAGTACACGTCTATTTCAGAACTAATAATAAGTGGTTTGCTTCATGTCCTTTGGGGCAAGATGATTTAATTAATGAGATCCTTGGTCTACATATGTTGCAGATCGTATTAATGACATAAAATTAGTAACGAAAGTAGAAGTTTTGATTAATGAGATCCTTGGTCCACATATCTCGCAGATCGTATTAATGGCATAAAATTAGTAACGAAGGTGCGTGCAAAGACAGACAAATGTGAAGAGAGAGAAAGAAGTTGAAGCCGTCCTGTAAAACGTGTATGGTTACCCATAGTCTCAAAATATGGAAACAATATTAGGTTAGATCAAAACAACATCCTAAAAAACATATAGTGGATGAGAAGATCAAAGACATAATATAAGCCTATTTAAACCTTTGAACAAGAGGACCCATCACATCAAATTGCTTACTTTTCCATGGATGAAAAGAAAAACTGCAGACTGTCCATTTTAATGAGAAAATATGCCACATAAGTCATTCAATTTAAAATGTCACTTGAACATGCCATGTATACTGCAAAGACCCTAATACAATCAAATGATGTTTCTTTCAGTTTAAGTTCAGATACAATAGCTTCGGATCACAAGACTTCTGCTTTTCAGTCATGAATCCACACAGCACTTTTTTTTTAAAAGGTGACTGGTCATTTTATGTGTTGGATACAAGAAAACTAAGACTGTTGAGATCCATTACATGTGTATATCATCCTTTTGAATTTACGTTTTTAGGTTAATCATTTTACCCTATTAGCAACAGACAGGAATAGCTAGAATTTCATAATTAGGAACTTTCACAAATCCCTGTCAGTATTTTCATGATGTTTTCAGCATGTGCTCTCCATGAAGTTATAGGGAACACTGGAAAGCATCTGAAACCCATTTTGAAAACTACCTCAATAAGAATAACATCAAAACCCATGTCAGAACCTTTTTTCGTCAAAGCCAATGTCAGAATTCACAAAAATCTCCATCTTATCACATGCACTTGAGCTGCAGAGATAGAAGTTCGCTCGTAACAGAACACACCGCAGACTTCGCACTTTTATAGTCCAGATCATGCATACACATTGACTGAAGTATTTAATGCAGAAAACCATTGAAGTTATTCAATTATTTGCTTTCTCATGATAGTCATGTGATCTTTTCACAGTTTAAATCAATGTATTCGTCAGGTTTTTTTCTTTTTTTTGGATTGGTATAACTTTCAGACTAACTCTTTAATCAAATCAAGTCAATCTGCACGGAACAAGATTAATGTTTAATATGGATTGTACATTAATCGAATCTTCTCCCGTCCAACTCTTCATTCAAAACCCAGAAAATTTCCCTGTAATGACTATGGAGAGAATAAGATTTTATTTTATCCATCCCTCAATAAACTCATGCGCATACCAAATAAAATTCATTTTGTCTTCTAAAAACTCATATGCCCAGGAAACCTTGAAACAATGAAACATGACAAAGAATTTGCTCTCTGAGGCATCAGGTGACCAGAGGAAGTGTATTGAACTAGATGACCATGGAGAATTCTGCAGAGGAAGATCGTGGGAAGAAAGAGGATGACGACCTTGAAGCAATCCTGGTTAAGTTTCGTGCCCAAACTCCATTTGAATTGAAAGGACATCATTGAAAATGTACAGAAAAACTTAATTATAAATGCTTGCCTTGATGGCTAATTTTAAGGCTGTATTCCGATCTTCATTTTTCCATGCACGGCATATTTCAATTTTTAGCTCCTTCAGCCTTGAAATATATTCATGTTTTGTCGCAATTTTCTTCTCATCTTCCAGAGCCTTTTCTGGATCATCCATCCCGTCAAGATGCATACTCATGGAAGATCTCTCATTCTCTGAAATAGTTTTCGAAAAAGAAAGCGACATCAGTAGCTGAAGCTATCGCTTATCTTTGCTGCAAAATAACATAAGGTTGTGATCGTTCTCCAAATAAATAATTTAATTTTATATGCCACATGACGGTACGAAAAATACCTTTAAGAATCCCTGGCAGGATATCAGATGCCTGCATTAAAAATGAAGTATCTTAGAGCTCTCACAATCCATTTGACATTATTCAAGAAAAAGGCAACTCTCTTTCAGGCAACATAGTAAATAAGAATCACAAGAAAAGAATTTAAAAGGGAAGGATATTTTTCAGTTAAAATTTTGCATGCACGAGAAGCATTTCTCAAAAAACGTTTAGGAACTAAATTAAAAATGGCTTCTGAGGACGCGTAAAAATTGCCTTTAAAAACGTCAATAAAACTGGGAAACGAATTAACTTCACTGATTTATGAGCATGATAGGACTCACCACTGTGACATTGGCCATACTGCTGTGAGAAAACTTCTGTGACAAACCCTTTGTGAAAACGGCCCATTCTTTCACGGAGTGTTGGACGGATTCATCTGATCGCTTTCTAGGGAAATCATTGTACATTTGATCTGATGATTCAATCAGCATAAAAACTCCCGAAGGGTCTACCACATTACCGATCTGATCACCGTGAACTCGCAGAGGGTCATTAACGGCAACATTCTGATAGTCAGCAGAATCCACCTGCGAAGACAAATGGTAGGAACATTCTTTCTGTAGCGTAGAATGTCGTCACATAGCGTCTAAATGAAACGGACCATTATTTGCAACCACAAAGCATTTAACAGACGACAAGTATGGTGTTGTGCCAAAATATGTGATCATTTTTTAAGTGAAATAAGTGATACATCAACTTCTTAACCCATCCACTAAAGTAAGAAAGACTCCATTTCTATTGGCTGCTCTTGTATGATGCGAGTACAGAAAGAATAAGCTCGGTCACCCATCAAGCACTCCAATTTCTCAGTCTCACACTGCACTTGGACCAAATGGAGAAAGCGAATCACATGAATCACATGAGAGAGCATAGCACCATTATTACTGTCACTTGTGTAGTCAACAAGGAAATTGCTTCCTGACATGTAAGGAAATCTCTAGACAGCGGCTAGATGTCACTAGTCTTGTCAAGGACCTGCCCCTTAATCATCAAAGAACAAGTTGGCGGAGACTCAAAGGAAGCAAGGCTTTGAGCCTGCGTATGGGAATTAAAAGTTGAAGAGCACTGCTCCTCATGAGCCTCTGGCTGCCTCAGATAAAGGCTGGGAGAACGTAAGAGGAAGGTTATCTGGGAGGCTTATGTAGAAGGTTTTTTACATTGATGTTTGAAAATCACTCACCTTCTGGAATGCCTCGGTCCTTGCCCTTTCCGATGAAGATCGCATAGAAGGAGAAGAAGCTGAGGCAAGGGGGTGGTCATGGGCGGCTGTTCTAGAGGGAAGCGCCGCCCCCGCCCTTTCCTCTTCCAAACGGTATTCCCGGGACCTGAAGTCGAGGAACATGACTGCCGAAGCCCCAAAGGGATCGTCAAACGCCTGTACAGGTCCCCTGGCGGCGCTGGCAGAGATTCCCAGTCGCTCGGCAGGACGTCGATCGCGATCACCGAGGAGAAGCCAATCACTGCTCGCGAATGATCAGAATGATCAAAATGGCCGTCAAGAAGCTAACCAGACCCTCGGCAAAGCTGTCCGAGCAACTCCATCTTTCGGCGGGCGCTGCGGCTCGCCGGCTTGAGGTCCTCCGCCTCCATCGCCGGCGGTCATTCGCGACCGAGGCAGAAACAGAGACGCTCTCCTTCGTCGGAAGCCGACAGGGGCAAATCCGTCTCTCCGCACACTAAATAATACCGCTCAGCATTTTAATGGGCTGATAATTGGGCCTGGACCAATCGTTCGTATCCCCCAAAGCCCAAACGTTTTTATATTATTCAACATATAATTTGAGAAAATAAAATTCCCCGGCACTGTTCCACGTTATTCTGTAATTCCACTTCTTTTATATAAAAAAACAAAAAAAATCTCGTTATTGCATTTTTGTGCACTTTAAATTTAAATTAAATAATGATTTACATATTCTGCCAAGTATTATTAGTGTATAAATGTAGTTACGCTTCAGAGATGAGGGCCGAGTACCGGCGGCATAAGGGGAGGTGGGGAAGACGAAGGCCGCGGGAGAAGAGGAACCCTAAAGTGTCGTCGTCCTCTCTTTAGGTTCTAGCGGAGCACTGTAGAAATCGACAACTGCAGATGGTGGGAATGAGGTGGAAGGTTGTTGTTGTCGCCATACCGCGATCTTGAGGTTGCAGACGATGAGTGATAACCCTGTGGAGGATACGCTCTTTCCTTGATTTGAGGTGTGTTACTTCCGGCTTCTTGCTGGCTGTGGTCGAGCGGCAAGTATAAAAGGTGAGGAGGGGGGGAGGGGAGCAGATGGATGGCTCCCGGCACCATCAGCTGCAGGAGCAAGAGCAGCAGGTGGATCTAGAGGTGGTGGGGCGGCACGCGCTGCTCTTCGATGATGACTCCACGTCGGCGTTCATCAACTCGTCGGACGTGCTCGTCCCCTGGAGTGGGGGCGATGCTTCCCTCCTTATCGACCGCTTCGACGCTCGCCATCTTCTCCCGCAGCTCCCCCTGCGAGGGGCCTGGAAGAGGCAGCTACAAGAGGATAACCTGCTGGAGCCCGACGGCGTCTCGCGGATCGAACTGGATGCAGAGCGCTATCGAGATCTCGAGAATGGTGGCGATGGGGAAGATCAGCAAGATGGAGGTGATCAGGAAGATGAAGGTCTGCCTCTCTGTCTCGTTATTAGGTTCTGGAAACATTCGCTTTCAAGTTTTTGGTATGTCATTGTAAAAGGCCGTTTTCAACTAGTTTATATGTTCGATGTTTCCTTTCGAGCTATCGTCTATGTATCGTTTTTAGAGTCATCCTAATATATGAGAAGACTCTAGTAAACTCCCCATTTTTTAATAGATTCCGGTTATAATGTTAATGATCGATCTGATGATTAGGAATTGGATAATAATTATTCTAGATCAACTCTTAAATGACTCCTGGGGTTTTTTTTTTTCGAGGAGAACAATGTTAGTAGCGCTCTCTATATCTTCATATGATTGTAAGAAGAACAAGATGCAATGGTCTCCATATGCTGTGCTAGTGTTTTCCTTTTATTGTTAATTTATGAGCTATTTATTTTTATTTATATTCTTGTGGAATTGTTACGAGGCTGTTGTGAGTTTGGTTTTTTAGACTGTCGTGTTATCCACTGGCAAATCACTACATTAGACATGTTTAAGTGCATTTTGTTGAAGCATCAAGATTCGTCAAAGTTACCGAATTGGCTAAATTTTAAAGTGTCTTCTACGTCGGCATTAGGTTTCAGTGAGTCCTATTAGTTAGGTTATCGAAAAAGGATCAGTTGGACGAATTGCATCCGTCTTCCAGTTTCAAGCTGTTCTGCGCGCCATTTTATTTTTTCTTTTTTAGGGTGTCCTGTTCCTAATATTCCTGTCAACGATCTTATGTTCCTGCATAGTGGGTTAGAAATGGTTGACAGCGTTGTCTAGTAATCGCTATCAGATGATACCATGTGAAGTAAATGTACGATAATGCTGGGAGAATATCTGATATTCTTATTTAACTCCATATCAGGCGTCAAGTAAGATGCTTCCACCTACTTTACAGCTCATCCTCTTTACTTATTAATGGCAAGCTATTGTTTAAAATTTTGGATATATTTGAAGTACGATAATGTAGTCCGTAATTGACACTCTGTCACGATGCAGAAGTAAAGAAAAATGGAGCAAAATCTGGCATCTATCGCACAGTTCCGTTTTCATATAACGCTTCTGGAGACTTGAAGAGTCAGGAAGACGGGTTGGAGCATTCATGCTATCGACCCCCTTTCCCTGTGCCTGAATACCTGCTTAGTAACCTAGTAAGTGTATAATACGTTTTCCTTTTGATGGAAATTCATTTACGCACGTGTGGATAAATTCCCAACTAGATCATTCTTTGTATTTTCTTTTCTCCAGCTTATCCAGTGATACTTGTTCAAGGTGCGTGTTTTCTTCTAAGGTTTACATTTCTAAGTTTCAGATGATGGGAGCAGAATGAAGTTCATACCTAAGGTTAGCATTCATGGGCACATCGTTTGCATGTGATGTGTCATGACGTAAGGACAGTGCAGGTGGGATTAGAATGATATAATTGCATCGTTTCATGAAGAAATGAGTTCTTTAAATCTAAACCTGTCTATCTGGATCACCCATATGTTTGGCTTAACTTGCCCTTTTTTTTAAGTTTTACATAACGAGCCACACAATATTCGATCAAAAAGTTTTCAATACTTATTATTCTAGATCTGTTAACGTTTGCGTTACTGATATTGATACTTTTTCTTTGGGTTGTTGTTGCAGCCTCTGACAGAGAAGGTGCACCAAATTATTTCCAGAACTGCTAAGTTCGTCAATGAACATGGAGGACAGACTGAGATTATCTTGAGAGTTAAACAAGGTGGTAACCCGTCGTTTGGGTTTTTGATGCCTGACCATAAACTTCATGCCTACTTCCGTTTCCTTGTTGATCATCCTGAGCTTTCCAGAAGCGTTACTGACACAGTTGGCAAATTAGAAGAGAAAAAAACACTAGACAGTGTAGAGAATGCGTTGTATATTGCTGGTGGGGCACTTTCATTGCTCGGGTCTGTATATGGTACTGGCGAGGATGATGGAATCCCAGATACCTCAGAAACCAGGGAAACGCTAGTTAAAAGTTCCAAGGATGCTGCTTCAGCCACAGCCCCTCGCAAATCGCAAACGTCTACTTCCCGTTTTGATGACGAAACAAAGGCAGCTATCAAATTACCACCCGCTGTTAGTGAGAAGCCCTTACTGTCTAAAAGGAGCCGTTCATCAGCTATGATCGATTCTGCAGCTGCACGGAGTAGAACAAAGGAAGTTACAGCTGGTTCTCCCGATTCATTTATCAGCAAGTCTGGAGCGGACTCTTCCAGGCCTAGGGCTCCAGTGGTGGAACCCCCATCTAATTTGAAGCGGATGGTTGAGAAGACAGTCGAATTTATTTGTCGGAATGGAAAAGAGTTCGAGGCTTCCCTTATTCAGCAGGATAAAATGAATGAAAAATTTCCATTTCTTCGGTCGTCAAACCAGTATCACTCATATTATCTCAAGGTTCTCCAGCATGCTCGCGAGGTATGTTAATTCCCTAATTTTGAGTAAAAATAATGTCAGTCCGTTAGGCGACGATAATATTTCTTAAATCTACCTGCTCATTTTTTTAGGTTTATTTTCCATCTTTTTATACCATCAGGGAATGATAATTCACATGTGTTTTATTCTTACCTCCATTTGTCTGTTTACTTTATTTTTTATTCCTCCATAAATGGGGGGGTGCCGTTTGGCTTCAGATTCTAGGGTCAAATAGTCTCTCTTTCTTTTGTTGGGGCTAACTGATGATTGGTTTGGTCTATAGTTAATAGTAGAATTTCCTTGGAAAATAGCATTCCCGAGTGGAAAGTGAAAGAAGTGACGATCCCTCATTAACATGAGCCCAACACGATGTAAATTTGAATCAGATCACAAGATACGATCCGCTCATGGATTACTGTAGGTTATTCATGCGTATACTTTTCCATTCATCTCTTGCAAATCGGCTTTTCTTGGTTAAAACAAAAAATAGAATCATCTCATGTCATTTTAATTAATCTACTTTCACCTTTCTTCACCACAAATCTAATTTACTGATTCATCGTCCTGCCAACCCCTGTGCTGCTTGGCCATCTCTATTTGACTGTTTTAGCTTATTTATGAATACTCACCCGAGAGATCTTTACTGGTCCGGACTCCCATATCCTATTTTCTTTACCTAACTTCAGTTTGATTCCCACCTCTCACCGGATGCGTTTTTACTCTCATCTCATTGCAGACAAAGCTACCTTACAAGAATATTTCTGATCACCGTGTCGGAAGCAAGGCAGAAGCTAAGGTGGCTGATGATTATCCTTCAGATGCCTGGAACGTGGAAAAACAATTCGAAGCCCCACTCCAGCTGGACAGGAAAGAGAAATTCAGGATGGTGCTCGGTGGGTCAAAAAAGGATGCAAATAATTCATCTTCGAAACCCTCAAAGCCGCCGGGTCTGAGTGCCGAAGAAGCAGCTGCTATTGTCTTGGGAGCAACAAGAGGCCGCCTAGGCAGCCAGACCATGCCCGATGCCCCAAAGATGCCAGCAATTCACGTTCCTGATGCAATCCGTAGAGCTGTCGAGGGTCCCTCCACCTCCAGCCTCGCGAGTTTCCCTCCTTTCCCTGCCAGCAACCCTCCATCAAAGTCTACTTCCGACAGCGAGGGAGCCGCAGATCTGCCCAATGGTTCCTCTCCGGCCAAAGAAAGTGACAGCACAGCTGGTTGCATCGCGAAAGAAGCCGATTCCTCTGTTGCTTCTGCGACAGAGGAGCAGAAGCTGAAAGCAGAGAGGCTGAAGCGCGCAAAATTATTTGCGGCTATGATAAAGAGTGGTAAGCACAAAGCCGACGAGCACGCGGCTGCTCCGAGCCCGATCCACTCCGGCCATGAACCCCAGCCTGGGGGTGGGAGCGGGAGAGAAGAAGGCAACAGCAGCTTGGTGGTACCTGCAGAGGCCGAGAACTCTGGTTCGGGCGAGAAGCCGATACAGAAATTAGCCGCCCATGGCGGAGTGCAGCATGCGGAAGACCCCGAGGCGGTGGAGCGTGAGCATTCCAGGAAGCGGCACCGTTCCAGACAACACTCGAATGGAGATGGCCACAAGCGCGAGCACCGCAGGCACAGGCACCACCGCTCCCCCCCCTCTGAGGACGACGGGCGCCAGCGGAGGAAGCACCGCCACCACCGTTCCTCTTCTTCCAAACGCAAGCGCCGGGGCTCGGACGAGGACGAGGACGAGGACGGACGCTCCCACAAGAATAAGAGGAGCTCAGGATCGCAGCGCGATGGCCGTGATCGGCGGCGCCACAGGGAAGAAGAGATGGGCAGTGATTCCCGCCGTGATCTGCCGAGCCAGGGGGACTCCAGCTCGAGGCCTTCATCAGAAGCTCATCATCCTCGAGGGCCCTCATCCAAAGATCCCCCCAGTGATGGCGTCCAAGAAGAAGCCCGGCCTTCTGTAGCGACCGAGGTTCCCGATGATCTGAGGGCGAAGATCCGGGCGATGCTGCTGGAAACGTTGTAGCGAACGAACGCAGCTGGGGAGAAATCGCCTGCGTGTTCGGTCTAACCCGGGGCCTCCAGTAGGCGGCGACTGACAGCGTATTCGCTCTTACTTTCGTCAATCCTATCCGATGATAGGGTTGTGGTCTTTTTTGCCGCGCTCTATTGGCGGCTGATTGAGATCGGGGGGAGCAGGCTGTTTGTCTGCTTGTTATGTGGAAATTGGCCGGCAGGTGACCATGATTTTCGTCCAATGTTTAAGGAGCATCTGCGGCGTTGTTCTGACCAAATCGGGTGGGTAAGCCTGCCTGCGACTAGTTCACTGACTGATGAGAGGGAGGGAAATGATGGAAACTTCTCCCACCAAAACGGCAGTCGACAGAGACGAACACAGTCGACCCATCATCAGCATCAGCATCATCATCTGAACTGTCCCGTTGACTAAACTTGTATTCCTCATTCTGACGGTGTTCATCTACAAATTGATCCCGCCAGATAAGGGGATGGAACTTCAAAAAATGAAGGCAAAATATCACCTTTCGGAAATTTACAGGAATAACCTCCGGAGATGCATCTTCAGCCCGCAAAGCACAGCACCAGACACACAGAGGAACGCCCATCTGCAAGAACTACGATGGGCTCCCCCCAACCCCCCCCCCCCCACCAAACGAGGGCGGGGCGCGGGCGTCCGTCCGTCAGTGTTGACTCTCGATGAGGTCCGAAAGGGTTATCTTCCCACAGTTGCCCTTGTCCACCCGGTCAAACTGCTCGCAGATCGGCAGGATGTCCTTCTCCGCTATCTTCCCCATCTCCTTGAGCTTGTAGATGACGAACTCCGATTTACTGTAAATGGCAAAGAACAGGGTCGCATGAGTTTCGTGCACAGACGTTGGTGGCATCTTTAGAAACTTAGAACAAAAAGCAGTTCAACGAAGTAGACGAAGGATGTTCGTTCCTCGCCGTCTCTCCCACCACCACCAGTAACTTTGAAGATGAATCCACTAGAACGAAGAGTTCAAACAACAAGCACTCTACGAGTCGGGTGAGATTTCAGCAATAGATTCACAAGAAATGAGGAGAAAAAGATGACACCGGATGGTATGATTTCAGCAGGACTCCAGAGAATGGTCTAATGGTATGAGTTTATCTCAGCTAATTTTCACTAACCCTGAAAGAACAAATCTTCTACTAAATTATAGGTTCCAGATAATAAATATGCCATGCATTCGCAAGATTTGCTTCTCTAAAGAAAGTTGTATTCCTTCCTCTACACGAAATGGCAGAGGAATCGCCCTCCCCCAGCACCACCACCACCACCACCTGTTCATCGCCGAGCACCAGAGAAAGCGAGCAGCTTCGGCTTAATCCACCCAAACCCAGTTTCCAAAGGAAACTGGCCAGCAAGAAGACTGCCGGAAGGCATAACAGCCATCAGATGAATCCGACAGAAGGACAGGTTTTCATCCGATTCTACCAACATAAGTTTAAATCCCAAGAACCCAAAAGAATTCTATTCAGTCTCTGCAACCCCTGATGCTAAATCCCAGAGTCCTGATTCGGAGAATGAATGATGAGCGACTGGATTCAATCAGTCGATCCAGGAGGCAAGGGGCAAAGCTCCGCTGCTCCTAATGTTGTTCGGGGGGAGGGGAAGGACTCGATACGGCCAGCAGATTAGTAGAGAGATCCAGGCAGCAAGGTAGGACACAGGCGGTGGCAGCGGCGGCGGGAGGGGGGGATGTGTGGAAGGAAAGTAGACCTGACAAAGCCCTTATGGTCGATGTCGGCGGCGAGGAACTCTGAGACGGTCATGTTCCGGTGGAGAACCCACTTGGCGATGGACCGGTGTCTCTTGTCGATCCTCGCCTCGGCCAAGTAGAGGAAGGCCCTAGCGACGGCGAGGGTAGAGACCAGAAGCCAGATAGAGGCGAACATCCGGCCGGCGAGAGACTCGAAGGCCCTGTCGCCGTAGCCGACGGTGGTGACGGACATGACCGAGAGGTAGAAGGAGTCGACCCAGCCGAGCTCCTCCACGTAGTGCATCACCCCCGTCCCGAGGCCGATGCAGAGGACGACGACCCCGAGGGCGACGCCCACCTTGAGCCGGATCCTCATCCTCCCCTTCTTCACGTCGACGAGGTAGGACTGGGCGCCATTGCCGCCCTTGACGGCGCTGAGCAGGAGGCTTTCTTGGAGGTCGAGCACGACGGAGACCATGCCCGAGAGGAGGATGTCGACGAAGCCGAAGCCGATGAGGACGAAGGCGACGGAGAAGAGCTTGGCGGAGGTTGTCTGAGGGGTGATGTCCCCGTAGCCGATGGTGCACATGGTGACGATGCAGAAGTAGAAGGCGTCGACGATGGGGTGGGTCTCCTTGGCGGAAAAGTGGGCGCGATTGAAGGTGTAGGTGAGGACGCCAAAGGAGAGGTATACGACGAGGAGGATTACCGCCTGCCGGACGATGGGCGCCGACCCTGGCCGGGGCTCCGCCGCGTGGTGGTGGCCGGCGGCGGCGTCGACATCGTTGATGACCGACATAGCCGGGGCTGTCCGGGAGCGGTGGAGGTTGGACTTGAACCTGGTGAATGCCGGGTCGACGAGCCACTGCGGAGGGGGCTGCTGCTCCGAGTGACCTCCCCCCTCGTCGCCGTTGTTACCGGGCTCATCTTCCCAGCGAGAGAAAGAAGGCGCGGCGCCACCGACGGAGGAGGAAAAAAGTAATTGGGGAGACCTGAGCGGCGGCGGGGACTGGGGCGGGGGGGAGGAGGGTAGTATCAGGTTGAGGGCGTCGCCGGGATGAGGGCCGAAGATGAGCCGATCCTTGAGTGAGGATGGGGGGTTCGGGGAGAAGGGCGGGAGGGAGACCTCCGATTCTTCCGGCAGAGCGCAGAGGATGGAAGAAGGGTTCGAAGGGGAAAACAGCTTCCTCCTCGAGATCGGGATGGCGGTGGGAAGGAGGGGCTCCTTTTCCATCAGAAGGGAACCCCAGGAAGACGCAGACAGAAAGAGGAAGGTAGACCAAGAACCAGGCGCCGCCACAACAACAATCGACAGCCCTACTTGTAACTAAGCGCCAGACCAGAAGAAAGAACGTTCCAGGGATCCGCCAGCCATGGCTACTGAGGGATGGGGAGCAATCGCATCCCTTTCTTCATTCTTCCTCTTCTTCTCCAAAAGGGTCTCCCCCCTTCGGCCCCTGTTCTATTAACGACGACGAATAGACGACGGCGGCGGCGGCGGAGACGGACGGAGGCAATAACCCCCGTGTGAAAGGGACACAAGAATAAATATAAAACGTACTCCTTCATTGGAGCCGAGGGCGAAGCAGTCAACGGGGACGGACATCAGATCAACTAGTTCCCCTCCACCAGGCCGTAAACCCCCCCTCAAAATCTGGTATTTTTTCCGGCGTGCGAGCTTCGGCCGGCCCCCATCTGCTGTCTCATTCATGAGGCAGTGGCTCTCTCTCTCTCTCTTTCCCCTTCCCCCTCAAGGGTTCGTACGAAGCCTTCTCTCCCGATCCCAGCGTGTACAGACCTCGCCAAGGCTTGTCCTCTCTCTCTCTCTCTCGTCAGCTAACAGAGACAGCTCACGCTTTCACCACGCTACCTCGGGCCATTTCCAACGTGCTTCACGTAATGGCACTTTATATGTGGTTAACCTCGTCCGTTAGAGAGAGAGAGAGAGAGAGAGTGAAAGAGATAGAGCGAGAGAGGGAGGGGGGGTGTGGGATCGGACTCTGATTCGTGAGCGCAGGTGTCTATCCTCGTAAATACTTGAGATTCAGGTGAATATCCATGTCCGATTCGAACCTCCGCCGGTAAGGTCAACCTCACCCTCACCGCGGAGATGACGATAACGATAGGGGGGGTAACTTGGGCCGCAGGCGGTTATTTTATACCCCCGAGGCGGCTGTCCGCGTCAGGCGGAAAGCTCTAGCCGCCGGTGGGCCACCCGGGACCGAGTTGTCGACAAGTCAACCCGCGCTCTCGGAGACCCGATTTAGTCGGTCGGATCCTACTACCGGTTAAATGGGCCAGGGCCCACTATCACTCTGGGCATCCACTCTCTACTCCTGCTCGTCGTCCTCGTCCAACTCAAACCTACTTATTCTTCACCTCTCTCCCTCTCCCTCTCCCCCTCTCTCTCTCTCCCCCTCTCTCTCTCTCTCAAACTCCCTTTCTCTCTCTCTCCCCCCTCTCTCTCTCCCCCCTCTCTCTCTCCCTCCCTCTCTCTCTCCCCCCCCTCTCTCTCTCCCCCCCCTCTCTCTCCCCCCTCTCTCTCTCTCCCTCTCTATCTCTCTCCCTCTCCCTCTCTTTCTCTCCCTCTCTCTCTCTCTCCCCCTCTCCCTCTCCTCTCTTTCTCTCCCCCCCTCTCTCTCTCTCCCTCTCTCTCCCCTCTCTCTCTCTAAACCCTATTATCAAGGGTGGGAGTGCCGCCTGGATAGAGCTGAAGAGAGAGAGAGAGAGCGCAGGCAGAGAGGCATACCTTATGACCCCATCATTGTTGAGGTCGGCGGCGACGAGGTCCCTGAAGGTCATCTTCTTCCGGAGGAACCACCGCGCGACCCCGCGGCTCCGCCTGTCGAATCTCAGCTCGACGAGGTACAGGAAGGCCCTCGCCACCGCCAGCGTGCTCACCAGCAGCCACACGACGGCGAAAATCCTCCCCCCCACCGTCTTGAAAGCGATATCCCCGTATCCCACCGTCGTCACAGACGTCACCGACAGGTAGAAGCTGTCGAGCCAGCTCAGGCCCTCCAGCAGCCTCGCCATGCAGGTCCCCAGGGCGATGCACACGGCTACCACCGCCACCGCCAGCACCACCTTCATCCTCACTCTCATCCTCCTCTTCTTCACGTCCATCACGTACGTCTGCAGCGCAGCCGATAGCCGGTCGCCGTCCACCATGGTCACCAGCAGACCCTCCTGTGTGTCCAGGAAGTGCGCCAGCAGGCCGTTGAGGAGGATATAGACGAAACCGAAGCCGAAGAGGATGAAGCTGCAGGTGAACAGCCTAGTGAACTCGGAGTTGGGAACTATGTCGCCGTACCCGATGGTGCAGAGGGTCACCACCGAAAAGTAGAACCCGTCGACCACCGCCGTCGTCTTGTGCCCCTCGAAGCTTCCCCTCGTCAGCACGTAGACCAGCACGCCACAGACGAGGTAGATGACCACGCCGGCGGAGGCCAGCATGACGAAGGACTTCTCCGATGGTGAGGAACCAAGGCCACCGCCGTCGTCCTCGCTCCCCGGCGAGGCTTCTCCTCCGGCGGCGACAAAGATTGAAGGTGCGGAGTGGGAGCGGTGGAGGAGAGTGTGGCGCGGTGAGGTGATGCCTTGGGATGAGCCCTGCTCCATGTCAGATGAGCTCGGCGACGAGGATAGAAGATGCTCCTCCATGAGATCCCTCCTGGATCGTCTTCTTCCTTGTTTCCTCTCCTCCCTGAGTACATACGGGTGTGTGGCTTCTTCGCCGACAACGATCCCTACTGTGGTGGCGTCCCCAACTGCGGCGCTGGGAGTGCTTAAGACCTGCCGTTGGAAGGGGGCATCTCACGGCCTCAACGGTCATTCAACCACGGCAAAGGTTGACTAGTATCGATTCACGCGCGTGCGGCTGACATTCAAAGCTCCCTCTCCCGCATCATCTACGATTCCACGCCGATGTGATAGCCGAGACCGTGGACCTCCCTCCCAAAGACTCGCCCTTTTCCGGCGACGGCGGCCGCCCTCGACTCCGGCGGCAGAGGCGCGAGGAGGGTGGCGCAACCGGCGGTGGAGAGAGAGAGAGAGAGAGAGAGAACTTGGTGAAGAGCGAGATCTCATCCAGAAAAGAATTAAGGTAGAGATGTCCACCATAGAGTAGGAACAGGAAGGGAACGAAAAAATGAAAAGAAAAATATGAATTCTCTAGGGAGAAAAAGTCGGTTGATGAACAGCTGCCCACATGACACAAGAATGTGATGTGCGCTCCCGCGGACCAGTGGCTTCATTCCCCAAGACCAACTCCGTCTAAACGGGCGCGTCCCCCACCAGATCGAACCAGGCCAACGTCACCGTCTCTCCCCCAACAGGAATGCTCGCCCGGTGGGCACTCATCTCACCGCTGAACCTGAGCAATCAGAAGGAGAAGAAGAAGAAGAGGAAGAAGGGTTAGTATCCGCGATTCTGATCTTCGGTCTCCCCCAAGGAAGCTGCGAAGAGTGATCATGGAAAAACGGGCACACAGTGTCTCACAGTGCCCAGAAAACAAAGAAAGACTCCCAACTTTGATCTAGGGGAACAGCAGTGAGCTTTCCACCCAATAACCCGACCATCGCCGAGCCACGCACAGCGAGCAGTAAAAACTCAACTCTTGTGCAGGGTCTTAGCCCCGCAGACCCCAAAAGCATGCGACCAAGACGTAGACGAAAGAGAATATGGCCAGCAACCTCAGACAAGCTGCGCCAATTGAATACTGAATGAAAATAAAGCAGAACAGAAGAACGATTCAAGCACCAACAGGTGGGCGTCCCTGCGGTCAACCAGGTTGACCCCCGTGCCCAATTTTGCTCGATCTTGTTCACCACCAAGTCTCTCGGCCAGAGGTGAAGATGCATGCATGGGAGTCCACTGGAAGCATGTAAGATATAGTTTCACCCTTTAAGAAAATAGAATTGAGAAATTGTAAAGGGTTATGTTCCCCCGATCTCATAGTGATAGTATTTATAGATGCAAGCTACAATTATGTCAAAAATATTTCCACACTCTGTGCTTTTTGCCATATTCTACCTTCTCAAAATATTCCCAGGCATCAATCCACGCTGATCCCTTTCAAATATACGGAGAGAAATTTATTTTCCGGAAAGAAAACTAATGAGAGCTACCAACGCCTGGGTTTTCATCGAGGAATCTAGAACCAGGCTAGCCAAATTGGTGTTGGATAGTACAGAGATGGAGATGGTGTGAGGGTGAGTCAGAGTCCAGAGGAGCTGGCGATGGAGGCAGAGGTTCCCAGGAGACGACAGCTGGTCAACTAGGAAGGCAATCACTCCAGAAAGCAAAGGAGACGCCCTGGCCAGACCATCAGTGCGACCAACCTGAGAACCAGCTGGGTTCTTCTCTAATGGCAGACATGCCCCAGGAACAAAATCCTTCACAGTGGACGGAGAACAAACTATTTCTCCAAATGGACAAGAAGCCATCGCCAGTGCTCCAAGATTGGAGGATCCATAGTGTGGGGTGGTTTTGACGGCAACACGTCAAAATAAGTTTCTGCTTCGCCCATCATATTACCTATTTCAAACCAAGCAAGATCAAATCGATCACGAGCCTCACCCGTTGAGGTCTGTATTGGCAAGGATCAACTACGGAAACAAGAATAGCAATCCACTTGGAACCTAAGATTAGCCCAAAATTCTTGGGTTCGGTCGATTATCTGAAAGGCTCAAGATGCTGCAATTAATGTTTCACAAAACACATGGGTTCATTCTACCAGTCTCTCTTTAGCATCCGAAATTGAGATCGCTTAGTTAATCCCCTCGCCTAAGAGACGAGAAGATTAAACCCCGAATGGAAGAAGCAGCAGAAAGACTCTGGCTGCCCCGAAACTGTTCCTACGACGAGCATTGTCCTCACCAAACCCCTTTGTCAAAGGGAAATATTATGCGCAGACAAGGCCTACAGGGAATATGTAACCAGCGCTGCATTTTCTCTGATAGGACGATTGGATGAAACGGGGAAGACGGGGTTCCCAAAGAGGCTCACAGGAAGTTCACCCACACTCTCTGAGACCTCCTCCAAGGAGCGACCTTTAACAAGAGGGCAATAGCGCCGCCAACCCCCCGCAACCTCAAAAATGACGGAGACAGTGTCCACAGTACATGCAGGGATGGGTCTGGCAAGAAATGCCGAGGATATTGCAGGAAGGCGTCAAGAATATATCCAGACAGTGATGAGGCCAAACTCGAAATGCCGAGAAGTTGGTGGAGAAGAAGGAAGAACCTGACTATGACTGACCTCCATCTCCTCTGGAAAGGCCTCCATTCCAACAGCAGCCCTCCATCCGCTGAGAATGCAGCGCCGCCACGGAAGGTACCACTACCGACAGACACCGACGGCAACATATCTTTGAGGACGACGAGGACCGGAGATTCCACCAGACTGCTTGAAATTTCGCCAACTCCTAGCCTCGGAAGCAGCTGTCGGCGGCAGGCGACTGCCCGAACTTCCTTCTCGGTGCCTGCCCTCCCTCCCCTCCTCTCTCTACTTACTCTGGCCTCTCTCCAGAGGTCTGCTTATCTCTTGCGCTCTCCTCTCATGGGATTCCTCCGCCTCGTGCTGTCGTCCCACGAAGCCCGCGGCAGTTCTCTGTTCCCGTAGGCCTGAGATGACGGGCAATATCGTATGCCGAGGCTCCTTCTTTTCTCCCAGCGTCCTCCTCCACTCCCCCCCGCCCTCCGGTTCCTCCTCTGCTCCGGCAAAAAGGACCCCGAGCACGAATCCCAGGAGAAGGCAGACAGCAGACAGAGAGGAGGGAGGGAGGATGGGAGCGGAGGAGAGTGAAGCGAATGCCGTCGGACTTGCTTGTCCTTAATATGTTCGCCATTGTTTAAGAGAAAAGAGTCTTAAGCATCAGCCTTCCTTGTCGTCTTTTCATGGTATCCCAAAATTTTTTGAAACGAGTGCACCGGGGAACAGGGAGGCAGCAGCAGAAGGAAGAAGAAGAAGAAAGGAGAGGAGGGAGGGGCTAATCCCTGCAGACCCTTTACGCCACGTACCCCACCGATTGTTCTATACCTTTTTTTGTTCGCACCCAAGCTCCCCTCCTTCCCGCCACGAACCCTCCTCTTTTCTTTATACTTTGATTATTCCCATATTAACCCTGCTCTGTATGCTCTGCAGGGGGAAGCGTCGACAGGTCCGGTCCGGGCCGGGCCGGCCAAGGTTATTATTATAAATAAACCTCTTATCTTATTAAGTATTATATTTGTCCCCCTAAAATGCTCGGGGCTTTACTCACTTTTTATTTATTTGTTGTCTGGAAACATATGGGCCGGGCCCAAGTTCTCCAATGGCCCATCTACGAGGGATCACACGTGACAAGCTTCGACCCATTTTGCGCACTTGTACATGTATCCTCACGAATCCGATACCACGGAACAGAATTGCACCCATCGGCATTTATTTAATTTTTTTGGGGATCCAAACAAAATAAAGTCGAATAAATGCACATAATAGCAATTTCATAGGAATTCATAGACATTATGCAATACTTAAAACCTGCAGCACCTCGAGGAGTGGCCTGTAAGCCACTGTCAGACTTCTTTCCCTTCTGCCGGGAATCAGCCTTCGTCCAGTGCTTCACCCCCTACTCACTCAACCTCCCTGCTTCTTCCTTCTCCCTTCTTCTTCCTTCTTCTTCCTTCTTCCTTGCCCCCCTTGAGGAGTTAATGGCCGTTTCCGTGAAGACGAAGCATGCAGGGGCCCGCCGCTGCGGCGTCTTCTGTTGTGGCTGCTCTGCTATCGCCGGCGGCTCCTGTAGCCCACGGGTGGCGGTGGCAGTGGCGCCACCGCCGCCGTGCTCCGGGGGAAGGGATCACGGAGAGCGGTGGAGATTCCTTTCTTGGCCCTGCTGCCCCGCCGCTGCCTTGTCGCGGTGTGTTCAGCGGTGGAGCGGGAGACAGAAGCCGACATTTCCGCGCCTCCCCGCCTCCGGGAGGGGCTGCCTGAGTCAGAGACAGACAGCCTTTCATCCCTGTCTCCAACTGTTAAAATTATTATATTTCTTGGCCATCCGTAAGATGTATTTAATATCGATTTCTTGCACGCTGGATATCGCTTACGGTGCGTGATCTTCTAGAAGAGTCTGGATTCTCGGCCCATTTGGTTGGCTAATGGCTAGTTTCAAGTTGCCGGGGAGGGGAAGCAGCGCACACATCGTCGGCAAGTAGACGGAATCTTGCCGCGGCCGTGTTTCGGCTGGCGGTGGTTGGAAGTTGCGGGGAGGTTGGGGCATATCCCCCAGCGGTTGGACAACACGAGGGGACGCACCGGGCCCTTCTATGAGAAGTTAAAAGAGCGGACCTGTGTAGCAAAGTCAACCCGGGACGGAGTTCGGCAGAAGTCAACTCCCAGTTGTGAGCCCCAGCTAACCCGAAATGAAACTCGCAAGTTGGGCTCACCCATTAATTCCCTCAAAAGTCAACTCCATATTCTTTTTTCTAAAATAGCAAAAAAAAGCAGGAAACGGGCGACGCAAAATATCTATCCCAAAGTTTATCATTAGAATGACGATGATGCCCACGACACCCTACTGGGGTCGTCAGTGCTTTGACTTTTGCACGTTGCCCATCCGAGTCACCCACCCCCGAGCTGTCACGCCCACTAGAAGTCCGTCGTCAGTCAGCGTGCTCTTGCTCTAATCCTCTCTCTCTCTCTCTCTCTCTCTCTCTCTCTCTCTCTCTCTCTCTTCAGAGTAGCTGACGGTGGTGGTGAGATGGACCAGAGGCTATTTATTTCTCACGGGGTTTTACACCCCCTAGTTCTTAGAGCGGGGGTGGGGATGGGGAAGTTGTCCTATTGAGGTTGTTAAACGATACTCGTGTGTCCGAGGGACACCACACCGAGACCCGACAACGTGCCTTCGGCGGAGAGGAAATGGCTGCTGGCGGTGCGATGAGTATATCTCGCCGTCGCCGCCGCAGGAAGTTAAGTCCCATTAAATAAATATTAAAAGCAACCCGAGGAAGCACGCGCGCCGCCGCCTCCGATCCCCTGCGTCGCCACGTGCTGAACAGCCACGTCCGCGATCGCATGATTGGCTTCGACGCCACGTAGCGTAAGCATCACTTGGGACGCGGAGAAACACTAGGACGGATCCACTGGTGGAGCTGGCGTATCCTCGTTGGCCCCATCCATCTCCGACACGTGGAGAGCTAGTTCCCCCCTTCTACAAGGGAGTCTCCCCTTCTCTGCCACTCCCTCCTTCCTCCCACCCTTAGCTGTAAGGGCGAACAGCTCAATGCCAACCGATGCACAGCTAAACTCCCATCTCTCTATCTCTCTCTCTCATCTTAGATCATTTTCTCCAGATCCGCCGCCCGCCTGCCTCTCTCCCTCGGCATGGAGTACGGCGGCGGCGGCGGCGGCGGGTGGGTCCGCGGTCGGTGCCTCGGGCGCGGCTCCACGGCCGCAGTTCACTTGGCCTCCTCCCCCACCGGCGCCGGCGAGGGGCGGAGCTTCGCCGTGAAGTCGGCGGAGGCGGCCCGCGCGGCACCGCTGAGGAAGGAGTGCGAGATCTTGTCGTCTCTGTGCAACCCCCACGTGGTGTCCTGCTTCGGCTCCGGCGTGACCGCGGAGGCCGACGGGCGGGTGCTGTACAATCTCTTCCTTGAGTACGTCCCCGGCGGCAGCCTGGCCGAGCTCGCCAAGCGGCGCGGCGGCCTCGACGAGCGGACCATAAGCGGGTACACGCGCGGGATCCTCAGCGGCCTCTCCTACCTCCACTCGGCGGGAATCGTCCACTGCGATCTCAAGGGCCACAACGTCCTCGTCGTCGGCGCCGGTGACGAGGAGGACGACGGCGGGGTCAAGCTGGCTGACTTCGGCTGTGCCAGGCGCGACTCCGCGTGCGGCCACCAACCAGGGGTCGTCGCCGGAACGCCGCTGTTCATGGCGCCGGAGGTGGCCCGGGGGGAGGATCAGGGCCCGGAGGCCGACATGTGGGCCCTCGGCTGCACAGTGATCGAGATGGCCACCGGGCGGCCGCCGTGGCCCGATGTCGCCGACCCGATCGCCGCCATCCACCGGATCGCCTTCTCCGCCGACGCGCCGGAGCTGCCGGGCCACCTCTCCGACGGCGCCAGGGACTTCCTCGGGAAGTGCCTCGACAGGGATCCCCGGAAGCGATTGTCAGCGGCGGAACTGCTGGATCACCCCTTCGTCCGCTGCGGCAAGGCGTCCCTCTCCTCGGCGAGCATCTCTTACCATGCGAAGAGGAAGAATTCTCCCAAGAGCACTCTCGATCAGGACCTCTGGGAATCGTGGGGATCGGAGGACGAAGAGCCCGAGCACCACTCGGCGGAGTCCATCGCGGAACGCCTCCGACGACGTCTGGGGGGCGTCGGCGTCTCGCCGACTCAAGCGGCCGAGGAGACCTGGGAGGAGGAGAACTCCTGGGTTACCGTCAGGAACGGCGTCGCGGTGTCCCCATCCGACGACCGGTCATCAACTATCCCTTCGTGTTCGGAGGAGACAGCCGGCGGTGCCATCGGCGGAGCCGCAGGCGGCGCCGTTGGCTCCCCACCGTTTGATTTCGACGGGGTTGACCCGGTTCTTTCATTCACGGCCCCACTGGTCGCCGGGGGGGACGACCTTGATGATGATCACCACCATTTTAATGAACACGGAGATCCCTCCGGTGCTTACGATTACAGCCTTTCGATATGCCGTCAGGGCGTCCATCTCCACCGCCCTCTATGGCGGCCCGAAAGGGTCTCCAACGGCGGCAGGTGGCCGGCCGTTCTCCGCGTCGTGTGGCTGATTGCTGATGCCTCCCCTTCGTCAACCCCTGGAATCCGACCCCCCCCCCGCCCAACAAAGTCAACGAGCGTGAAAACAGTGGAACGGGACAATCGGCGAAGTTCGGTGGCACAAATTAATGAACCCGAATTCATCCGAATTAATAAGACGTCGCTAAGTAACTCGCCAATTAGGTCCAGTTGTTTGCCGGCCGGTCGGACTCCGTACATCGAACTCAATGGCTAGAAGGGCGAGGAGGGAGAGGACGGGGGAGGGGACCCCCGCCCCCCTCCCGCGGGTCGTCTCGGTCACGACGTTGACCCGCAGCCACACGCCGCCGCCGACATAGAGCCTCACCGACGACGACCGACGGAGACGCCCGCACGCGGTAGATGGACAGGCGGAAGCCGGCGGCACGTTGTATTTAAGTGGTAGTGGTTATGACAGGTGGCGGACCATCCTTCTCGAGATACGGCTTCTGTCTTCCCCTCCACCGATCTCGTCCCTTCCTCACGTGCGGGAGGCCCCGCGCCGTTGATGGAGCGGACGGACGGCCGCCGCGGGCCTGGGGGCGGCGATGGGTCGGTTTTGCCACGTGCCGAATGGTTGGCCCTCCACTAAACAAGACGGCAGCCGCCAGAGACAGAGCTGGGTTTGGGGCGGGGCGATAGGCACCACCGACGACGGCGTTTATTGCCTCGCGAATTTAAGCCGTTCATTGGATTGCCAAAATTGCCTCAGCTGTGTGGGCCCTGAAAAGATGACGTGGCGCTATGACGCCATCCCAGATCCCGAGCTGCCTTTACACGGAAGTTAACACAGCTGAGCCTGGTTTTTTTTTCCCATTCTTAGAGAACAATCTTTCCTGGGCCACCGGTTGCTGATGTCAGCGCCAGCCGCCACAGCCTCGAATAAGGAATGGTTTGACTTCTGAACGGCTTAACTAAAAGGCCAACAAACAGTTGAAGAGCTAGAGAGAAAGAGGAGGAGAGGGGGAGGGGTCACGGCCTGCTGCTGGAGCGAGATGGGTACTCCGTATGCGGTCATCTCCTCTCTCTCTCTCTCTCTAGAATATATGGACCGTGAAGAATTCGACGTACAAAATTGTCGGTTTTGGTCACCGCGGAAAGGCATCCACTTTCGACGTTCATTCACTCGCTGCGCCAGTTGGCCCGCCAATTAATTCCACGAGGGAAGGGGGGGGGGGTATCTCGACAGATCCAGCTTCAACCGGCGTTGTTGCCACTCCACTCTGGGATATCTATCCAGCTATTAAAAGAACGAACGGGGATCAACTCGTGAAGTCTTGCTGTTGCCCACTTCGACCTTAGATCAGGCTCCCCGCTCCAAATGTCAACGCCGTAGATGTTTTGGGTTAGACGACTCTTGTAAAGTCAACCTATGCAATACCAATTAGCGCGCGACTTGTTCGGTCTCCCCACCCCCCCCCCCACACTCCCTTTCCCCCCCGAGGCACGCGCACAGCAACTGCGACAAGATGGCGTGCACGGGATTTGACCCGGTGGGGAGGACCGTCGCCATAGCCGACCTCTTCCGGCTCCGTTAACGACTCGAACCTTTCGTTGATTACTTTCTCTCTATGACAAGTGGGAATCCGCGGGGGGCAGCTGACCTATACCCCGTACCGCCTCTCCCAACCAAGAAGCCAACTACTTCGCCGAACTGCCGGCGGGTCACCTGCCGAGCTTATCCATCCCCTCGGACGCCGGTGGGCTGAGAAACTCTCTCTCTCTCTCTCTCTCTCTCTCTGACTAGGTGAGAAGACCCGGTCTGTCTCCGCTGGTCAACGCTCTAACCAACGTCGGAGGAGACGATGACAGCAGAAATTAAGAACTAATCTGCGATCAGATTATAAATCTTGTAGTTTGAATTCATCATTGGTAGAAAATTGTGTACAGGAATTGCTCAAACTGCTAGCTTCGTCAATTAACAGAAGCCAGTCGCCGAAGAGCGAAGACCCCTCCGTCGTCGCCGCCGCCGGCATGTGCCCCTCGTCGCTGACGGCACAGGCTTGTCCGTCTTCCGGGAGTGTGCCCCTTTTCGTGGGCAGCTCGTCGTAGGAATCCGATGGGGCGAAGCCCCTTCCGGCGCCCTGGGCGCTGTTCCTGACGGTAACCCAGGAGTTCTCCTCCTCCTCCCAGGTCTCCTCGGCCGCTTGAGTCGGCGAAACGCCGACGCCCGACAGCCGTCCGAGGCGTTCCGCGATGGACTCCGGAGACGGGTACACCGGCGACTGGTACTCCGGCTCTTCGTCCTCTGATCTCCACGATTCCCAGAGGTCCTGATCGAGAACGCTCTTGGGAGAATTCTTCCTCTTCGCATGATAGGAGATGCTCGCCGGGGGGAGGGACGCCTTGTCGCAGCGGACGAAGGGGTGATCCAGCAGTTCCGCCGCTGACAATCGCTTCCGGGGATCCCTGTCGAGGCACTTCCCTAGGAAGTCCCTGGCGCCGTCGGAGAGGTGGCTCGGGAGCTCTGGCGCGTCGGCGGAGAAGGCGATCCGGTGGATGGCGGCGATCGGGTCGGCGACATCGAGCCACGGCGGCTGCCCGGTGGCCATCTCGATCACTGTGCAGCCGAGGGCCCACACGTCGGCCTCCGGTCCCTGCTCCACCCCCCGGGCCACCTCCGGCGCCATGAACAGCGGCGTTCCGGCGACGACCCCCGGTTGGTGGCCGCACGCGGAGTCGCGCCTGGCACAGCCGAAGTCGGCCAGCTTGACCCCGCCGTCGTCGTCCTCCTCCTCACCGGCGCCGACGACGAGGACGTTGTGGCCCTTGAGATCGCAGTGGACGATTCCCGCCGAGTGGAGGTAGGCGAGGCCGCTGAGGATCCCGCGCGTGTACCCGCTTATGGTCCGCTCGTCGAGGCCGCCGCGCCGCTTGGCGAGCTCGGCCAGGCTGCCGCCGGGGACGTACTCGAGGAAGAGATTGTACAGCACCCGCCCGTCGGCCTCCGCGGTCACGCCGGAGCCGAAGCAGGACACCACGTGGGGGCTGCACAGGGACGACAAGATCTCGCACTCCTTCCTCAGCGGCGCCGCGCGGGCCGCCTCCGCCGACTTCACGGCGAAGCTCCGCCCCTCGCCGGCGCCAGCGCCGGTGGGGGAGGAAGCCAAGTGAACTGCGGCCGTGGAGCCGCGCCCGAGGCACCGACCGCGGACCCACCCGCCGCTGCCGCCACACTCCATAGCCAGAAGATGAAGAACACAGAGGAGATGAGAGAGAGGGAGAGAGTAGAGGAGAGGACAGCTGGGGGTTGTTGTGAGTCTGGTTAGCGCGGATTTGGGGCTCCCCCTTGGGGCGAGATATATACATCCGCTCTACGACGGCGACGGGACAGGGGGAGTCGGAACGCGCGAAGCCGCGACGACGCCTGTGCTGTCTCTACGTGGGGCCTTGAAGAACGTTGACCGCTCTCCTGGATACAGTGCCCCTCGTGCCATAAAAAGGAAGTACAGAGAGAGAGAGAGAGAGGGAGAGGAGGGGCCGGTGGGCGTTGACGAGCCTGTGGGGGCGGCCTCGGAGGAGTCGGAGAGGCGCGCTACCCACCTACTAAATGCGGATCGTCGAACGAAGACATCAACCCCTCCTACCTTCCTTTCTCCCTCCTCTCCAGGTAGTTGGCGGTGCATCAGTAAGGTTTGCTCTGATCTTGTCCCCCCCCCCCCTCCGTAATAACCCCCATCAAGTCAATGCTCATGATCTCTGCAGTACCCAAAACTCCGCATATATGCCGGCCGGCTCCTACAATTAAAGATTAAAGTTGCCGACGAAATAAATTAATACCTGACATATCCTTCCATTCGGCCAGCCGGATACCCGATCCCGTCAATGGCAGCCCCCCGTTCTTCTTTTCTCGGAGACTTTCTTCTTTAATGCGGCGGTCAAATCTAATAAATCGGATGCTTATCTAGATATCTCACACTAACGATATCAGATAATATTTTATTTTTATATTTTTCCCCGAATCACGCGTCAAAAAGTCCTCTTAATGCCGTATTTAATTCTAAAAGCAAGTAATAAATACGGATGATAACCGATATACCGTCCAGAACCGGTCGACGACCCCTCGATTGCGGATCTCTGTCGCCATTTTGCCTCTGGTTTGATGCACTTTTACTTGTATATATTTATGGCTTGATTTTAGTGATTTTCTCTCAGCTCGAGTGGTGCGTTGACTTCTGAACTAATCAGCAACTTTTATCGTTTATTTTTTGTCATCTGGCGCGATCAGCACGGCGTTTGATGCTTGAACTCGAGTTTTGATCGCTGGTTTCTGGCTGGCGTACGATAAAAAAGAAGAAGAAGATGGCATTTACCTTGATATATTAAATTGGAGATCCCGAAAAGCCGTAGGGGGCGTAATCATTTAAATGAATTAATTAATAGATTATTGTGCGTACTCCCCGTTCGTTCCGAAGGGAGCGTTCCCCCGAGGGACACGAGGGCCGCCCAGTGAGCAGCACGTGGCTGGATGCAGATCATCCAGTTCCCTGGAGAGGGATCCGATCCCCATCTTTTCAACGTGCATCTCACGTGTCCTTTTCTCATTGGCCGAGAAGACCGAGGTCTGCGAAGGGAGTTTTCTTCACCACGTGACGAATTTCACCGCCACCTGTTAGTCTCTTCAGACACCACCTACACAGACCGACCATCAGTGAATTGAGAGAGAGAGAGAGAGAGAAGGAGAGAGAGAAAGAGAGAGAGACGCACGTGTTTGTTGGCCAGCGTGAGCGGATGGGAGGACGCTTCGGACATCCCCTAGGTTTGTTGGGAGGGCGGCTCAACAAACCAACTGTAGCAGTCAAAAACTTACATGTGCGGCGGCTGGTTGGTACTAGTGCCCATGGGCTGAGGACGCACGTGTGGACGCAGCCGATTCGGTCATAGTTGTCTGTATGACGTCGGGGAGAGAGAGAGAGTAAACAAGAAAAGCGTGGAAATCGTTGAAAGAAGGGTTTTCACTGTACTTTGAAGTATGCAGCTGATCAAAGACTCCCACGAGTTGGACCAATTGTCTGAGTCCGGCAGCCGGCGGCGGATTGACTGCAACTGGCCGTTGACATTCTGGTCGTCCTCTCGGCAACACAGAGGCCCTACGACCGCTTCTTGGCAGCCGCCGCAGTCTCCGGCTTCGTCAGCTGGGCCGCTAATTCCGATTCCAGTTCGGCGATCTTGGCCTTCAACCGGGCCACATCCTGGTCTCCGCTCTCCTCCTTCCTGCTGCGCTTCCTCGCCGCCTCCTCCCCCTTTCTCAGAACACGCAGCTCCCTGATGTAGTGATGCATCCGGTCGATTATCAGCGCGAGGAAGAGAGAAAATCCTGCGAAGAATGTTAACCGATCATACGCATGAAGATCGCAAAGTACTGATCCTATGATTAAAAATGACCGTTCATCTTCTAGCAAGGTTTCCTGTAATCTGCATCGAACATAATACGCATGTATTTTTCGTATACTTTTCCGAACACTGTCGTGTTCTTGGTCCTGATCGTGCCCGGACGATCCAGATTCCCGGTCTGATTCCACAGATTATGACCGGAGGCTTGGAAAATTGAAGAGGAGGGAAGTAATAGGCATGAAGATGCTCCGTCATAAGAGGACGAGAACAGAGGCATACAGATGAAGAAAAAAGAGCAAGCTTAGGATATAATATATCGATCAAAGGGGGAGCGAATGAACAGTCATTTAATCAGATTCATCGGGTTCTCTGAGTTCTACTGAAAATCAAGATGATGGGTTCCAAGCGGAATATATATCAAAAGTATCGAAGAGAGACAGATTTGGCTGTTTCTGTAGAATGTTGCTATACCGATCCTTGGTTCGATGGTAGTTTAACTTATTGAAAATGACGGCGTTAAATCCAATGTGAAAGGGATATTTAATTTACTCGTGCCAGATCAACTAATATTCACTATTTTCTGTTCTCTGTGACAAGTAGGGTAGGCAACAGTATTGCTTGGGCTCCATAAATCTTGTAATACAAGTGCTTTTACTTCAAGTTGAGATCAGTGGGGTTACTGTACATTGCCTGGGTGGGAGTTGAGAGGTGGAAGGGAACATTTAGGTTGTGCCGATGGAAACGTAAACCTCATGCCCTACAGTCTAATGTATGCCTCAGACTAGGAGCCTGTACGTCGAACACAGGAAACCAGAATAGTTGATACAGTTCATGAGGAAAGTATTAAAAGACAATGAGACTACTCCCAGCTGAGGAAGACCGAGTCAGTACGCACACGGGGTTGAAGAAGAAACGGTAACAGAGAGTTCCCAGAATCCACTTCCTGATGGTCCACTATTTTATATCTGCGTCTAATCAAGATCCTGTTCATAAGGTCAGCAGCAAAGACGGGGCTGGAATATTTTATCACGGACAAGATGAAGGGTGGCACTGGAAAATATCCTTCGAGAGGTGTGACAAAATGATGGGCTATGCCCCGAGAAGAGGCCACAGTGGAAGGATCTTCCACCGGCAGTACCCAATCGTGCCGACTTCACCCTCGAGAATAAAATAAATCCAAAATTGATTTGATCACAATTTTATATGAACCGAACTTGACCGGAACAAATTCATCACTCCCACAGAAGCCATATATATATATATATATATATGATCCATGGAATTCATTTAGAAGGACCATTTGCATCACTTTCGAGACGATCATCATTTTATCTGGGAATTATGCATACCTAGCATAATGGTGCGAATTGGTTGTGCAGAAATCGTCCTACTGGAGAAACAATACAAGCCTGGATACCCACGAAACTGTTGGAGGCAGATAAATTGTCGGAGAATGGTTTTGGGAATGTTCGGGGATTAGTAAGAGGAAAAAATGGATACCAGGCTCAATCCATGATACGATATCTATACAGAGGCCCCTCCAAACTGCCACAGGCAAGATCATAGGCACCGATCAAAACACAACGATCACCGGCAGATTCGGGCACGCTTGCAGAACCTCGGATAGAGAGGGAGATCGATTGCAACGAAATATCAGGGAGAAGGTAACAGGCATACCCATTAGGGAGGCCTCGAGGAGGTGCCTCATCCAAAGCACCTGATCAGTAGGGTTGAGCCCGACGAACCCTTCCTCCCCCCTCGCGCGGCTGTGGATCTTCTCCATGCTGTAAAGGCTGGACACGAAGACGATGAACACGGTGGGGGCGATTGTCCGGACGGCGACGGGCCCCCGACCTCGCTTAATCTTGTCGAGACCGAGTAGCACGAACCTCCGCAGCGGAGTCCTTACCAGGAGGAGCACCACCAGCCCCGCCTCCGCCCCCACCACCGAGAACAGAAGCTCTATCATCTTCTCCTTCCTCTCCTCTCCTCCTCCTCCTCCTCCTCCTCCTCCTCCTCCTCCTCCCTCCGCACAGATTGAGAAACGAAGGGAATGGAAGAGGCCGAACAAGGGAAAGGCTGTAGAGATACCTGGAGTGACGGGCGAGGGAGAAGGGATTAACGTGAGACCCCCAAACTATAAACACTTACAAAAAAATATTCATGTAAACATATTGCATATATACCTTGAATCTGGGACGTACCATGAGAGGATTAAATCCACGTAGTCGGATAATTTTACTGAAAAGAGAGATAGAGGGGGCCGGAGAGCAATTGATTTGTGTAGTGGGAATTATTTTAAATTATTATTTGTCGAAATGTACCCGTCCATCAGAGGACGGACACAGTGCTGGGGGGCGGCCGGAGTCGGTGAATCCTTCCCGAGGGTTCTCCGCCGCCATCGCTGTTCCCTTGGAGGCGTTGATTGCCCTCGCACTCGGCGAGCTCGCCGGAGGGCGCTGCGTCTGGAGTTCACCGGCGGCGGAATCTGCCTCATCCTCGCTGGAATTCCTCCCCGTATTTTGCTGAGTGAGGTGCTGATCAGTCGCCAATTTGGGGACCGACAGGGAGTTCACACCCTCGCCGGAGTTTCTCTCTCTCTCGTTCTGTCTCTCAGTCTATGTATGGAACTATTGCTGAAGCAGGCTGATCGCTCGTGCAGTGTGGCTGTCCTCTCCACCGGGAACGGCCGCAGGGAAGGCTAAGAAGGGGCGAAAAGCGCGGAAGGGAAAGGGGGTGTGGCCACCAGATAATCAATCCCTGATCCTTGCGCGTCAGGACAGCAGATTACATTGGGAGGGGCCAATCGGAATCCCTTTGAGTGGAGGTTCCCTCAATCATGCCGTCGGGTGCCAAGAAAAGGAAGGCCGCCAAGCGCAAGAAGGAACACGAGGAGCAGCTGAGGACGGGCGTTGTCTCCCCCACCACCGGTCTTCCCCATAATTTACCAGGTGATCAGTGTGCTCAGGGTGTGAGGAACCCCACCCGAACTTTTCCCTTTTTCTCTGACCACCCCCAGCTCATCGGCATGCGTACACGCCATGCCAAGCTAGATAGATCCTACGCTTATTCTCTTCTCTATGGATGCATCTGAGGTCCACCCCTCCCCCCTTCCCCCCATCCTCTCTCTCTCTCTCTCTCTCCCTCCCTTTTTCTTTTTCAGATAATTAGTCCATACCGCTGATATCGTCTTCGTTCGGTGTGATCATGAAGGGAATGGTGAGATGGAGGAGGAGGAAGAGGACCTGGCGAGTCAGGAGGGCAAGGGAAGCGAGAGCAGCAGCGAATTGCCCTCTCCGATAGCGCGGGACGCCGTCGACGGCCACCGGCGCCATCTAGCAGGTGAGACGGAGGAGCTGGTCAAGTCCAGTGGAGAGGAGACGATTGAGGAGAAGGAAAGCGCAGTGAACGGCGAGAAGGAGCGGACGGGCGAGTTTTCATCCCCTCAGAATGCCGTGGATGAGTCCGCTGATCAGCCTGGGGAGGAGATCCCGTTAGCTGCAGTGGATGTCAAGATTGATGATACTCCTCCCGCTTCGCCTCCTTCTGGTCGGATTTCCCTAAAATCTACGGGAATCCGTGTTTCTAATCTCGAACCTGTAAATGTCGAACATAATCCCCAGAAGGAGTCGCCATCCGAGAGCATCCCCATCCAATGTAAGCAGTCGGAGCAGGTCGATGCAGGAGATCCTGTTGAGCAGCCTGCTCCTTTCTCCGAAGGGGTGGTTCAAGCTGGTTCTGCGCCAGTGGAGAGGCTCAAGGTAGAAGAGAGTGCCGCAGAGGAGGCTCCACCCCCGTCCCATAAGCATGAAGAGGAGATGCCTCTTTCAAGTGCCGCCGTTGAAGAGCCAGGTTTCAGCGTTGAGAGCCACCCCCGAGAAGGCAGCCCTGAAACCGCAAGAACCACCGAGGTCTGATTCGGTGCAACAACTGTCCACATTCTTACATCAAAAAAATTTAAATTTTTGCGCTGTCTGTCTTTATCTTGAAAAGCATTATATCTAGAATTCTGAGCCTTCCAAGAAAACATAGGTCGGCCAGACCACGCAACTGGAGCGGCGGACGTCATGGATGAGCTGCTGCGGGCTCTTCGATGCTGTCACTAGAGGAAACAGAGAGACATCAGGTTAGAGACGCCTTCTTGATGATCACTGCCATTTTATCATTCTTTCCTTCTTTCCAAGGATCTGTTGCAGCCCATTCGAGTCTTTTTATTTGGCAAACACAGACCAGTTTGGGGAATCTTTCAATTCATCTCCCCATTTCTTGAATCTATTCCCTTAATCTTGTGTCTGATTTTGTTTGGCATACTCGTTCATTTTCATTACGTGACCTCTGTGGCATCCGAGTGGATACTGCATTGATCAATCACTGAGAGGGCCGACCGATCGCAACGGGACTGGCCTTCTGTGACGAGAGAGAGAGAGAGAGAGAGAGAGAGAGAGAGAGAGAGAGAGAGAGAGACTCCTTGGTTTTGCATGAAAGAAGAGCTGAACCCATAGTCGACTCTCTCTCCATGTTTCTGCAGCTTGAGGAGGGATGATGCCGGGGGAGAAGCAGCGGATGTCGTTGCTGGAGTTCGTCTCTTGGGCATCTCTGGTGGTGTGGCCTCCTCCTCGGTATCCATCTGGTGGTGATGTGGCTGTCAGACAACTGAATAAAAATGTGGACCAATGCGATAGAATATTGTGTTGTGCACAGTTCCTCAATGGGTTTGTGAAATCGCCTCACATTATCTGCCAAGTTCTGTGAGTTGCGTTCGTCTGCTGGTTTCCCCATCACTTCCTGTTTGATTTCTTTGCTCTAGTCGTCCTCTAATGGAGAGGCCTTCAGGTGGGCTCGAGCCTGGACCGGCCGTGCATGGCTGGAGAAATGGGCTTTGAGGTAATGCATGGGCCGGACTCCCCCGTTGACATTTCATATGCGGATTGACCCCGGTTACTATTGGGTCTTCCAACATCTCACCACGTGGAACTGAGACGGGTCAATTTTTTCTAAAATTGACGCTCAAGATTTCATCCCCATGGAAAATGGGTCAGTAAATAAGGGATATCTCACCACCCCTCTTCTCTCTCTCTCTCTTCCCCCTCCTCTCCCATTTCTTCGTTTTATCGTGTAAATTCTACGCCTTTCTCTCCTCTCCCTTCTTCCGTCGGCGCCTAACTTTCCTTTCCCTCCCTTCTTTCGATGTTAGCACACCACCACTTTGACTCTGGTTTTCCATGGAGTTTGGCTGGGGCGGTCCTAAAGCCACCAAGCGTGGAGTCTTGAGGCGTATCTAGAAGCGCTTCCAAAAGTGCCATAAATGGGTCAAGACGGAGGCATCGTGTGAAACTTTAGTAAGCGACATTAGTAGCTTACCCTAGGGAATCATCTTTACACAAGGGATTGCGGCGGAAGAGAGCAAGGGTCAGCCCGTGTGGAGAGATCCACGTCAGGAGTGGGCATGCGGTACAGGTAATCGCCATTGCACCCAGAAGATGTTTGATGGAAGGCCGCACTGAGCCGCGTTTCTTGACGGAGATGTGACCCGGCGGTGGGTGATTCGCGGTGACCCACCGGATCGCCGTCGGTCTCCGGAACAGCACAAGGGCATGCGCCCCGCCGGCGTCGGTGCGTTCCTGACGCGCTCACGCAGTCTCCATCACCAACCCCGACAGCCGACTGAACCCTACTAACTCCCCCACCCACTTCATCTTTCCTCTCCTTGCCAGATGCCCCTAACTCTCTCACTCTCTCTCTCTCTCTCTTTTGTGTCTCAATGTCAAATGTGATAAGATATAAAATTTAGCTCTCTATCTGTCTCTAACTTATGTACTTTCAGAGTCGACTAGGTACGGCTGTCAACCTTGGAGACTCTCACGGTCTACGTCAAAGGTCGCATCTCGCACACGCGAATGCGCCGCACCCCGTCCGCATGCACCTCTGGGCATGGTGGATGGCGCAGAATTCTACTTTTGCCAGATCGTGGCTTGACCCCCCGCGCCACCGGGGGGGGGAGCTCGGGCGGCGGTGATAGGTCACCGGCGTCCCCTCTCCCTATCTGTCCGATTGCGCGTCCGAAGAGCCACAGTGGACAGGTTCACTTGTGGAGGCATGCACGGTCCCCTTCGGCGACGAGTGTCCTCAGTTGTGCAAGGCAACCTTGAAGCCAGTGGGACGGGTGAGTGGGACGCGCTGAGGGAGAGAAAGAGTTAGGGTCACTTGGCAAGGAGAGCCCGCAAGTGACGGGAGGCCGCCGAGATGCTGGTCACTGGGGGACCCGAGAAAGGTGAGGATGGTGCAGCTTTAATTAGACGAGCGGGCGTTTCGCCATGGGACGAAGAAGAATCTGGACCTCGCGCCTATGTTGGCCTTGCGATCGCCGTTGGCTGGTCCCGTCTCGGTTCTGCGCCACCTGTTCGGGTCTACTCTTTTGCGATCTCGCGAATTAAAAACTACACAATATACCGACAAACTTTATGACTCTGTGTGAATGTGTCCGTGTGAGAGAGACAGAGAGAGAGAATCACGTCTCTCCGACGGTGGAACGATGCCGAGCGTACCAGAGAGTCCAGACTCGAGCAGAACAAGCTTTGGAAGGAGATATTCTCGAGTCATCTGTCAACAGATATTCATGTGAGCTGGGTTTGGATTTCGATTAGATCTTCTCTACACTTCAGGAACTGTCGTGTCCGTCGATTTATGGAATGCAGGGTCGTACAGCTCCCTCCCCTCGCTCGTCCCTCCGTCGTCTCTTTGGTCAGACTACGCTTAAGTGCCTGACCGTCCTTTGCAAGAGTTGGCCATTCTTCGACCTAATGTTTTCCGGGCTTGTTAGGATGTAAGACACATATTTGATCCTGAATGTCGCTTGCCCGATGGAGATTATTACAGTATAATTGTTAAATTCAGGTGGCAGATCATAGAACTCAGAGAGAAAGGCGCAATGAAGAAGAACAATAGGCATTTGATTATATACGTAATGCTCATCAAATAAATCTCATCGTCGGGGATCAGGTCAAGATATTCTCGACGAATTCCGCTGGCTCATCGTCGACCGAGATCGTCGAATTTACAGAAGTATGGGTCAGAGATTTCCTGCTGTTGAGTCTAGGATGAGGAGGATGTGTCGAGGGTGGCGGTGAAGGCGTCGTCCTCAGGGAGGAGGTCGCCGGAATGGAGGGCAGTGGAGACCATGAGGCCGAGGAAGACGAGAGTCGAGAGCACGGAAAGGGCGAGCATGAGCCAGTTGGCGATGCCATCCTTCACCTCCCCAGCGTACTCCGCGGAGGCCAGCGCTAGGACCGTCAGAGGGAACGAGTACGCCCACCACGCCACGTTGAACTTCTTCATTGAACTCTTGAACATCCCCAGCCGGCAGACCTGTTCCAAAACCTTAGTTAAATCTCGGCGGAGAAGCATCGACAGATGATCGAGCGGCTGGAGCTTTGGAGAAAACGAAATGGGACTGATGATGAAGAACGAGAGGGACAAAAATGCAGAGGGGCGATTGGCTGGATCTGATTAGGATGTGCCATCCACCATGTCCTAAGGCTCCATACAGTATTGGGCTCCTGGTTCGGCACCTCCCCAACGGTCGTAGATTATTTTTTAACCCTCCGCGCTTTGGATGAGCCGCGGTCGTCGTCCTATCGGCACAAAGCGTCTTTTCTTCCCTGCTCTGGGCACATCTATCTACAGCTCTCTCTCTCTCTTTCTCTCTCTCTGCTGGGCTGCATCTGTTGTTTTTTGGATTATCTCTCGACAGGGCTCTCCCTTAGCTCTCTCAGCCTCTAGATGGAAGCCAACTCCTGTGAGTCGTCTCTTTGATGCAGTATAGGAACGATCTTCTGGGATTTTCCTCTGGCCGTAGATCATGGTTTCTTCCCTTGGCCTTTTAGGGAGCGTTTGGTGTCTTAGTCAATGGGATTGTCTCTTTTGCTTTCTTATCCATGGTCTCTTTCTTCCGCTTGAGGGGATGTCGCCTGGAATATTTTATCTCACAAGTAGAGGGAGGGTCAGATAGTCGCGTCACGACTTTGTCGGAGGCCAGATCCCCTACGTGGGCTGGAGGGGCAATCCCAGTAGAGAGAAAGAGAGAGAGAGAGAGAGAGGGAAGAAGAGTCTCACCAGAGAGGTAAAGAGGAAGAGGGATAGGAAGAAGAGCATCTTGGAGGGCGTGTCAACGCTGCCGGCTATGGAGACCCACGCGAGGCTGGCTACGCTGGGGGCCGCGACGAAGAGGAAGAAAACCGGGCGGAGCATGGTGGGCAGTCCATCGCTGCCGGCAAACCTCTGGTAGAGCGTCACAAACAGCACAAGGTAATGGGACATCCCAAGCGTGAACATGAACACGGCACTCTCCTGCCTTCCCATCTGCGCTGCCGCCCTTGCCCCTATAAGGTTCCCAATGACCGACAGCTGGCTCGTGGGGTTCGCCACCAAGGTCAGGAACTTCTTCCCCTTGGTGATCCACTGGCCGTAGATCTTCACATCGAGGGCCAGCACCGGCGTCGAGAAGACCCACCAGAGGGCCACGTAGGGTTTCGTCCCCGGGAGGAAGAAGGGCGAACACTGCAGGAGGAGGAGCCCCGAGATCCAAGGGGCGAAGAAATAGTTGACCCCAACGTGGTCGTAATACTCGGCCTTGACGCTGTCAAAGTGGAAGATGCAGCGAAGGGCGTAGAGGAGACAGAAGAGAACGAGTGTGGCGAGGGCGAGGGACCAAAGGAGGTGGAAGGCGGCGGAAGGGAGGGCGCGGACGGCGTGGCGGAGGGCGAAGGAGTTCGCCACTGACGGCTCGGTGAGGGTCTTCCAGAGGAGGGCCTGTCCGCAGAGCGAGAGGCTGATGCGGAAATAACCAGCGTGGAAACGGCCGAGGACGGAGAGCTTGCTGGAGGACGCAGCCCCGTCAGTTGGCGGCATGGGGATGGCGGTGGAGTCCGGCCGCTCCGCTGCCGCCGTGGGGGCGGGAAGCGATGGCTGTGCGGCGCCGAAGTGTGGCTGCTGACTACTCTCCATCCTCTCCTTCCTGAACGCGGTCGCGAACCTTGAATGTGGCAGACGGTAGGCCTGGGGTGTTTCCATCTTCGCATGCATAAGTACATATATATAAGGGAGAGGGAGAGGGAGAGGGAGAGGAGGAGGCAGAGAGAAAGGGAGAAAGTGAGAGAGCGAGACAGAGAGAGAGAGAGAGAGAGGATGAAGAGAATGCGGACAAGGATCCAAAGTGAGGGACAGCAGTGTTCTGACTAAGAAACTTCTCTGCCCACCAAATATCTATGTTTCCGTCGTTGTCTTTGCTTACACCTCCCTATCTATCTATCTATCTATACAAACACATATTTATTTGGCGGGCTCAGCGTTTTACATCATCAGGGTTCACTTCTTCCCACTATTAAGGTTCATGTGCTGCTCACTTGCGGGAGGTTCGGCAGTGGGATGACATGGGAAACCCCTGGCGTTTGAGTATCATCATCGCCAAAGGAGAAGGGCAGCTCTTTGTCTCTCTCCTCCCCCTCCCCCACTCCCTTCACGTTTGGCAGGGGTATCAGGGATTGTGTGGCACTGACGCTGTGCTTCCAACTAGTGCACGTCAACTAGGCACCGCGGAGGTCGCGCTTTGGGATGACTACGACCCCTCACTGCCGATCGTCCACGGGACGGAGTCGGGTCCTAAGAAGCTATTCCTAATCTAAACATAAGGATAAAAAACAAGCACATTAGACTACGATCCCCGTATTTCGAGGAGAACCAGGAGGAGAAGGAAGAAGACGAAGGTAGCTCCTCTCCGCCTTGACTTCGATCAGATCCCCAGGAATCTTGCCGCCTTGACTTGAGGAGGAGCAGATGGTTCTGAGATCAAGAAATTCGCCTGAGATCTGGGGATATTCTCTAGGATGTCTGCGGCATATTCCGGGATCGACCCGCTCGACGTGAACAGTGAGAGCAGCGCCTGCATGAATCTTACGTGGGATCATGTGAAATCGATCCCTGGCACCGCCGGCCCTCGTGCGCGCCACCGCCGCTGTTGCCGTTGGTTTCGTCGCGCCCGCCGCCGTGCGCCTCTCGTGGGATGTCTCCTCTCCGACTAGCCGCCGGTCGCCCGGCTGACACAAGACGGCAGTTTTTAAGTGGTTTTCTCGGTACCTCTTTTCCCTTTCCGAATCGATCCCACAGGAGGAGGGTTTCCCCACGTAAGAACTCCGTCGGCGCCGCCACGGCGGCTCCAGCCATGACAATAAACAACGGCCGAGGTTTGACACTGCAGAAGACTGTAGACCGAAGTGATTCTCTCTTTCTCTCTCTTGACGCAGGAGGCAAGAGGTCCACTACGGCAGCGCATCATCGGCCATGAGAAGCCGATGACTCACGGTTTGAGAATCCAGGGGGTTCGAAGACGCGGCCATTAGCGTCTGACCGATGAATGGAGAGGATTGAAGCGGAACCGAAAGCTTGATCGGCTTCCGATTACTGAGAGTGAGGAAGACCTGATGACAGTCCTTGGCTCCACTCCTTCTTCCAGAGCAATAAGCCCACGTCTCCAGTCTACGCAGTACAGAGAGAGAGAGAGAGAGAGAGAGGAGGGAGAGCGTAAACGAGGGTCCAGCAGCTCGATGACGACTCGGATTGGGAGGCCTCTTCCTCTCAGGTCGAGTATAAGGGAAAGCGGGCCCACAAAACAAGAAATATTCTGTGTCAGACGTGTAACAAGCCGTACAAGTTCGCCGTAGGTTAGAGAGTGCCACGATCCACGCCCGTGCTTCCTTGGATCTTAAGCTATGGCTAGTGGACAGCACAATGGGCCACTCGCTGCCACGACGACGAGCCTGGGCCCCCCGCTGACGGGCAAGAGTGATATCGAGGCCCACGTGCCCGCACATTGACTGTCACCGGACGGGACACGTAGCGGATCAGTCGAGAATCCAGTCCTCGCGGATCAGTCCGAGCCTAGGAAGCGCCGAACTGGCAAAAGAAGAAGTCGAGGGACAGAGAATTAGAGAAGGCGGACCAATCCCGCCAGAAGGAAAAAGAAGAAGATGATCCCGACCGATGTTAGAGAGAGAGAGAGAGAGAGGGCAGGGGCAGAGGCCATTCTCCCTCTCCACTGCGCATGTGAGATGAGACGTCTAAACCAGTTTCTCACACAATAGTCAATGGAGTTAGTCATCAGAATTACTCAGAACTCCTCAGAACTGTTCTCGGGCCTTATTGGGTTGCTGATGAACTACTCAGAACTCCTCATTATCTATTCCGGAAACAGACTTAATCATCAAAATCCAACCGTTGACCAAAGGAAAAGAAAAAGGAGATGCCGCTAAGGTGACGCCAAGGTCGGCCACTTAGAGAAGGAGCTTGAGGCACTCCGTTGACCCTTCTCGACCTCCAACCTTGGTCATCAGATTCTTCCTCTCCCAAAATGAGTGGCCGTCTCCTCGTCCTGCTGACTCATCTCAGCCACTACTGACCACAATTTCTCCTCAGACTCAAAACTTCATGCGAAATGGAAGGGTATGTAGAAGCTCAAGATGTATATTTTTTATGGGTTTTTCAAGCGAAATTATTCTTCTCATTGTATCAACTTACGACAGTGGATAAGTTAACTATGGAAGGACTAAGCTTTGAAGTCAAAGGCCTTATGCGACTTAAACGGATAGATGCGTGCAAACCTTTCAAAGATCGAGAAGATTTGAAGTGAGATTCAGTCACAAAATATCAAGAGGAGTTTGAACACAAAGCAACAATAATAGTCAGTCTCTCTCACCATATCCTTGAAAATATTTTGCTTAAAAGATTACACAAGGATATTCAAGTGGATGTATCCCTCTTTGAACCATTTGGATTGAACGCACTCATGCAAACAACTCAAAGGATTGAAATGAAGAACGATACTAACAAAGGTCTTGAAGGCATCAATATTAACAAAAATCTAAGAATCTTTGGTTCAATTGCACCAGCTTACACCATAAGTAGATGGATTGGACTTGATCTGTATTTTTTACAACAAGGTGACAACAGAGGAACCAAGGATGCCATAGCCTAAAGCTCGATCCACACAAAATTGTTAGCGGTGAAAAAGAAGGAACTAAATTTCACTCCCACCAAAATATACTAACTTCTTGCACCCAATGCCAATACTTCTATTACAACGACAAAATAATAGATCTAGGACATCAATACTGGCAGGAATTACAGATTTTAGTTATCCTTAAAGATAACCATATTAATGGTGAATTTGAAGATACCCATGACAATTAGGTCAAAGAATAATCCTGCAACTCAAAGTGTTAGTTAACTTACTAACATATGAAGACATGATGAATGCTCTCAAGTTCCAAGGGAAAGTACATGATTACATAGTGACAATGTTCATAAACATTGAAACTTCTTACAACTTTATCTTTAAGGTTGTCATCAAGGAGTTGAGAATTTTAGTCGCAACCACCCCACATTACCAAGTTATCACAAGTAACCAAAGAGAAAATATTTGTTGTAGTCTCTAATTATGAGCAAAGATCCATTAATTTTTCCATTGACCAAGGTTTATATCATGTTGGGGGTTAAATAGACACAATCATAGAATAAAGTCGAGCTTGATTTTGAATGATACATTATATCTCTTCTATTAGGTTCAGGGTGAGTAGTTCTACCTAAGGATACTTAGTGATGCATGTGGGACATTTCTTTCAAGGCATTGTTTAAAGTTATTAAAAAGGAGAAAATATTCATTGAACTCTATTAATTGGCTTGACAAGAAACTAACAACAATGTATATTTACTCGAAATCCAACTCAAACATTAATTTCATTTGAGGGCATGATTGGCCTACCCTCAACTCGAAAAGTTGATCACATGACCCAGTTGGAGCCAAACTCCATGCTTATTAATATTAAATCATTCAAATATCCCTATTTTCAAAAGACTGAAATAGAGATGCTCATACATAAAATGCTAGAGTTCAGAATTATTGTGCTTTCAGTAAGACCATATTTTAGATATATTTCATGCTATGATTATCAAAGGACTTCAAAAAAATTGGAGCCTTTAGGAATCACTCACCATTGCTATAGTATTGACCACTTTTCTAAGGTTTTTGAACTCTAAGAGACTAGGAGTGATAGCAATCCTCATGTAACACTAACAATTGACCACTTTCTTCAACCAAACTTTTTCAACCATTGGTGAATAGAAGACTATTTATAGACATGAATTAATAATGATCATCTTCACCATCTTGAAATGGAAATATTATTTTCTTAAAAGGAAATTCACAATATTTGCATATGTAACCTCAAGTTTATTTTGAATTAGTGCCAAATATTATCAAATTATCAAAAGTCACTCTCCAAAATTATTCATTTTGACTTTGAAATTAGATACAAAATAAGAGCAAAAAATAAGGTAGTTGATGTATTATCTAGAAGAATTGATTGGATTACACTATGGGTTATAAAGTTTTTCCAAACCAAAATTTTCAATTTGGATCTGACTTAATTAGAAAATCGAGTAGAGCCTGAATTGTCTACCATAATGAAGGATCTATTGTCACCTTGAGAAATAACCTCAATACCACCTTCATCTAATAATAATCTTGCACCAAAAGCAATTAGTTCTCTCAAGGAATTCATCAATGATACATACAATATTAAAATAATTTACAACTTTGTGAAAGATGTCACTTTAGATTCTTAATTACCTAGAATGTTTGATGGTTCAATATAAAAAATTCCATCAAAAAAGTATGTAGAAGTATGTCATATTTATCAAAAAATAAGTTCAAAACTTTCTCATCGACAAACTTCAACCTCTCCCTATTCCAAAATAAATCTAACAAGACATCTTCATGGATTTCATCAAAAGGTTGCCCAAATTTGATGGATTCAGTGTAATACTCATCATTGTGAAGCGGTTGGACAAGTGCACGCACTTCTTAACACTCAAGATTCATTTAATGTACAATAAGTTGCCCAAATATTTATTCGTGACTTGATCCACCTACACTAGTTTTCTAGCTTAATACTTACTAATTGAGATAACATTTTCCTAACGTCTTGTAGAATAAACTATTCTGATTATATGACACATTGTTATGACAAAGGAACTAGTATCTCCATAGTCCAATAGTCAAACGAGAGGTAGTAAACTGTGGCCTTGAGACGTACCTCTCACATTTCATCAATGATTGTCCTCAACAATAGAGTAAGTGGATTGAGTGGGCAGAATACTAATTCAGCACAAATTTTAATTCATATATAGGAACCACACCATTCAAGGCTGTCTACAAGAGAGATATCTCGGTCCTCTTGTGTTACGAGATTGAATCAATATGGTCAGATGATGTGGATCGATAATTACATGAATGAGATACCACATTGCATCAACTCAAGAACCACCTTGCTCAAACATAGGCTTAGATGAAGAATTATGCGATATGAAATGCTGCAACATCAAGTTCACCAATGACAATAAAGTTTACCGTCATTGTGCTCATATCATTAGAACTCTATAACCCATTGTCCCTACAAGAAGCTTGAGCCACGTTTTTTTAAGCCCATGTGAGATTTTAAATTATATCAAGTCAATCACATATTGTCTTATCTTACCACCAACAACAAACATCCATCCAATATTTAATGTCCCAACTTAAACATGGGATTAGAGCAACATCACAAGAACAAAATAGGCCATTCATTTTGGATGAAGATCTCATTTGGACAATTTAGCTTGTCAATAATATTCTTGCCATCAGGTGAAGGCCCACACATAAGGTGAAATTGTTAGGAGTGAGTATTGATAAACCACTCATAACTCCCTATCATCCATGTTGGAAACAAACAATCTCTTGAAGCAAATCCTTAACTAGAAGAAGACCAATATGAGATGTAGTTCATGATGTAATGTCAGAATAATAGATGCCACTTCAAAAGTGGAGGGTAATGAGCACTAATTTATGAGTTAATATCAAAAGAAGGCCCTAGGTAGATGAAGAGGACATGCCATTTTTAGTATTCTATCTCTGTGTAGAGAAAGTTGGGAGGCTAACCATTTTGAACAGGTCAAACTATCCTTTCCTTATCTCTCTCTCTCTCTCTCTCATCAATTGGAAAGGTTCCATCAACTCCCTAAGTTGACTCTCCTCAACACCTTCCCATCTCAAACAACCCAATACAGTCCACATTAAACAAAGCTGATAATGTTGATGAATACCCATCTCAAGAATGACATCAAATTTCATCTAATAAAGAGTGTTTGGTGGCAGAAACTTTGAATTCATCCCATGCAAATACCTAAGAATTTTGTTCCAAGAATAAGAAATAGAGACTGCTGCACAATCTCAGAACATGAAACCCAAAGAATTTAATTCATGGTTCCTACCTGCCTCATGTGGGTGCTTCATTGATCAAGGAGAATCATGATCCCATTGGCAATTGAGGCCTTCAAGGAGGGAGAGACAGGAGAAGGGCCAAAGAACCCATCGAAGAGGGTGGAGGCGACGCTATGAGACTCAATGGTGGCGTCCACTGAAGAAGGGAAGCCCATGGAGGATATGGAGACCTGAAGAAAACCCACTAAAAGATCAATCAATCCAGATAATTCCTGAACAGCATAATCAATTAGTTTTAACTACCAGCATCTTGGAGGGCTCTGCCCACGTCAAGAGGATGATTGTTCCCTTGTTCAAGGGGCGGCCATGGAAGGTCCCACGGAAGGTCTCCAGAGCTTCCTTGTCAGCAACAGATGGCTCCTTTATCCTGGGGGAGATGACGTCATTCAAGGCATTCCAGAAGGTCTGGCCATCAACATCTCTGACTAGAACAATCTGAAGGCACTTCTCTCTGTAATCTGCAGCATCAAGATGCGCAACGTGCCATCAGAACACCAATTGTCTTCAAAATGAGAAGAAAAACTTTCCTCCTTTTTTGTTTATCAAGAAGGTGGTCTAAGATTGGAGAATAATGGGAGATAGAGAGGAGATTAGGGTGGGCTTATGGTCAAATTGGGCATAATTTGGTTCACAATTTGGAAAAGAGTTATGGGTAAGAATTTTAGGGTTTCGGCTTAAATGGAGATAATTCACCCATCAGACTGCTGCCGGTTGTCCCCACATGAGAATGGAAAAGATCCAGAAGGGTTCACATCTTGCAAAGTGGCATTCAATATTCAATAGGGATAAGTATATGGTTTAGGGCTAAATGGTGATGATTCATTCATAGCTCGAGATGGCAACAGCCCTAATGGGAAGAAAACAGTTAATAACAATTCATAACTTGGAATATAGAGATGGATCAAGATAATCCGCAACTCAAAACACCGACCGTTATTCCCAGATGGGAACAAAAAAAGAAGGTGTGGGGGCAAATCACACCGTTGGATCCTGGCGTTCATATAGATGCATTTAGGGTCTAAGGGTTAGGATAATTCATAAGGCAGAAGGTCAAGAATCTCAAACGGGAAGAAGAAAATAATGCAAAAGTTCACACCTTGAAACGTTCTATCAAACAGAGATGGTTTAGCAATAGTTCATAGTACAGAATGCTGAGTGTACCCCGGATGAGAAGAATTCACACCTTCGAATAGAGACTCGAATAGAGAGGAGCTCTCTATGATCTCTGTGGCAGGCCGCCCTTTCCAGCTCTGTAGCATGTCTGCAATGGAGGCATCGGCGTAGAACCCTGCAGCATAAACCTTCACACCGATGATTGCAAAGACCTTCTCTCTGTAGCCTGCAGGAGCCCAGATGAAGCCTTCTGGTGATTAGTCCGCAGATGACCATTTTCGTCAGAAAATATTAATTTTTCGACTCTCCTTGAGAGCCCATAATTTTCAAACCCCTGCGGCAAATGGCCTCTACTACACACGAATATTTTCAACGCACTACGCGGCCAGGATGCACAAAATTTGAACTAGTCAATTTACTTATAGTTTCATGGCGCCGCCATGGCTACAATCGGCCGTCACGAGTTAGAACTTGGTTGAAGATGTAAGCTGAGAAAGAAGCGCCGCCAAACCTGCTCCGAGCAAGGATAATGGAGAAGAGCAGCCCGGGACCTGGAGATCCTTCTGAAACTTCACATCCGTCGCCGGTTCCACGATGAAGTCTGTGCTCTTAACTACACGATGATCAAGAACAGACCGGTCAATTGCATCCCGCGGTTCAGTGTTTGGGTGCAAAGTTGCCTCCGGGACTAAGGTGCCCGCATTGGCATCAAATTGGATGATCTCTTCCTCACTATAAACGGACGCCAATGATCGCATACTAGGGCTAACGTTGGGGGAGGACGACTGAAGGTATTGAAGCGATGAGCATGGGAACGGGGCTTGTTCTGGGGGGGAGGGTGTGGATTCTTGGGGAAGGGTGGACAGGAGCAGATAGGGAAGAACATGGCGACTGTTAGATCACAGTTTGGTGAGGAGGGGTGGGGCGAGAGGAAGCACATCGACAGAAACGATTAATCTCCAGTGGGGATGAATCAAACCTGATGCCCGGGGGAGCAGACGAACCCAGTGAACTCTCCCCTTCCGAGGAGCAGCCGATCTGTTATAGCACGTCTGGGATGGCAGCGAGAAGGCAGAGGAGTTCACTGCGGCCGCTCCCCCCGTGAATCCACTCAGAGGGTTTAGCTGCCCACGGCCCGAAGCAGAGATAGCGAGGTTAACCAGTGGAGCCGCGCAAGGAGTTCCAGCAGACATCAGGGCCGCCCCCAGCACCATTGTTTCCCTCTCTCTCCGTCGCCGGTAGAAGCGCCACCGGATGAGGAGGGCGTCCTCCTTTGTCCTTTCTCTCCCCTCACATAATCCGGAAGGGCACGGGTAAGAGAGGACGATAAGGGAATTTAACCCTCCTGGCCCCCACCCGCACACACCCGTGCAGTCGCGTCACAGCTTCCCTGCTGCACAGGCTAACACGCAGCAGCCGCTTTGCCGCCGGGGAAGAGCGTCCAGGACGATGATGATGGTTCGCCTCTGTTTCCATG